TCGTTGCTCATTCCTCGTTGCTCATTCCTCGTTCCTCGTTGCTCGTTGCTCATTCCTCGTTCCTCGTTCCTCGTTGCTCGTTGCTCGTTGCTCATTCCTCGTTCCTCGTTGCTCGTTGCTCGTTGCTCGTTGCTCACTAGTCGTTGCTCGTTGCTCGTTTGTTGTTCATGCTCATGGTTCATTCATTTGTTGTATGTTGTTGCTTCCTGTCGGTGTATCTGTAGTCATCTTCAGTCGTACAATGTTATCTCAAGCCTCAAAACAAATCAATGAGTGTATTAGCTGCTGACTGTTTGAGCTATAGACATGCTACATGATTAGGATGCTGTAGGAAAGAACGATGATTGTCTACTAGTAAGTGTGTGTAGTAATGGGACTAGGCATGATGTAGGAGTCTGGGTATCGTTTGCTGTGTGATCTGTCCATGATGAGTGAATGAAAAAGGATGTGGATATGCTACAAAGAGGCTCAGTCAGTGGATAGTTCGTCAAATGAAGGTTGGTCTTATGGATTTGTAAAGGTTGCGAAAAATTCATCAATCTCTTCGGCACTTGGAAGTGGACCCTTGTCGCCTAGCTCACTGTCTGCTGACAGTGGGCTGGGCTCTGTCGCACCTAGGTTGAACATGGTTGCAGAGGGTGTGATACCGAGATCGGATGGAATCTGTGAGAGAGGTAGTCCCCACTCGTTCGTAGGTTCGTCGACAGCTTGCTCTTGAAAGAGCTCTAAATTGAACAAAAGCTGTGGGAGGGGTGGTTCCCAGTCAATCACAGGTTCGTCGACAGCTTGCTCAGGAATGAGCTCTGCATCGGTAGAGGCATTTGAGCTTGAACTGCCAGTTGCTTGACCAGCTGTGTCGTCGTTGGATGTGGTCACTGACTCGGATGTGAGTGATCATGTATGTATTCCTACTAGATGATACGACTCACCTTGCAGGACGATCTCAGCTGGTTGGGCTGAGTGGCCACCAGCTCGTAGCTCCTCATGCTCGAGTACGACCATTGGAGCACTCGGAGCCACAGGTGGAGCTGTTCTTCCTCGTCGGGGAGGCTTTCGGTCAAATGGCAGGGCACGAGAGTGTTGTCGTGTCTTGACGAGGTGGCGAAAGTGTGTAAAGGCTGCACCAGGGGTGCGACCCTTGCTGATCCATTCGGTACATTCTTCGGCAGTCCCTTGCCTGAATCGTCGTTTCACATCACCCCAGGTTGACTCGGCATAATGGCCGACTGTCGGGAAGACCTTCATGAAGGCATCTGCAGTCTTCATTCCAGTGTCGTTCAACTGCTGGATACGCTCGGCGCCAAGGTAGAGGTCGCAGAAGAAGAAGCCAGACGGAAAGGAAGGGTTGGGCTGGCCCTGTATGGCAGGAGCTGGATCGTTTGCTGGTTCTGCTGTTGCTGGATCGTTTGCTGGTTCCAATGCTGCTGGCGAGGTCGGCAACAGCTCGCTGGTCGTAACCTACAACATTGATCAGTTCTGGGCATCGGTATCAACGCAAGGAGTCGCTCACATCTAGACCAGTGAGGTCACTTTCTGGAACAGGAGAAAGCTGACTGAGTGAGGTGAGGCGAAGAGATGGCCGCCGGGAGGTGGGAAGTGCGACTCGCGGACTCCAATCGTGTGCAGAATCCAAGTGTCGCATTGGTCCTGGCAATGAGGTGGTGAGATTCCTTCGCATAGAGCGATAGGTCGCTTTGACAGGTGTTGTCGGGACAGGGCCAGAGACAAGCCGCGATCGCTTGGCATCAGGGGTCGTGGCAGACGGTGAGGCTGGTCGTTTACGAGCGTACTGACCCGGAGCTGTGTGCTGGATACCATAGAGGCGATCAAGATGGTCATCCAAGCTGGGACAGGCAGAATCGGCGAGTTCGTGACCAGGTGCCCAGGCACGTATGAGAAGCTCAGGTTTTTGACCACCAAGTTCAGACGAGAGGTTGTCGGTGACGGTAGTGATGACCCAGCGAGCATGCACGGGATCGAAAACCTCAACACAGAGATCATTCTTGCTCACTTCAAGAGCCTGACTTGCAGCCGCACCTGAAGGCAAATCGGCGGGGGTGAGACGAGTGATAGAGTGGTGCATCAGGAGCTGGATAACGTGGGAATGCGACGAGAGCAGGAGTGGACCATGGGGATCAACTGAGATTCTGCATGATGATGGGAGGGTATCCGCCTAGATCAACGTAGGTACAGTGAATCAATAGCCCAAAATGGCATACCACCGATACAAAAACACACCTTGAACCAGATCAAAAGACACACAGATATCTTTTTACTCGCACCCTGCGCCTCAGCAGCTGCAAGCTTTCGCTGAGCAGCTGCTGATGCTTGTCAGTCTCGCTCGAGGTGAGAGACGATCGCATCTGCAGGTGTCTCCTGCCATAGAGTAGGAACAGGGTTTGCACCAGTAGCAGTCGTAAACAAAGCAGTCGTCTGAGGCAGAGCGGCCATAGACGAAGCAGTCGTAGACAGAGAGGTTGTAGACGAAGCAGTCGTAGACAGAGAGGTTGTAGACAGAGTCGTCGTAGACAGAGCGGTTGCAGACGGAACACTTGTGGAAGGACTCGGAGGCGGGGCTGTCGCAGATGGTTCTCCACGAGCAAAGTCTCAGTCAGTATCATAAATCTGTGATGTATACATAGGGAAACTCACGAGTTGCAGGACAAGGCATCCTATTTGGCAATGGGCGATACCTATGCGAAGACACCCGGCATGGTTGCCTTGCCTCCTGTGTCCCATGGCTTCGACTTGCAGCAGCAAGGCAACACTGGCGACAGAGCCTATACGAGCACTGCTTGTTGCACTCGCCAGAGCCGCTGCTACACAAGTTTGATGCCTTGTTGGAGCATGGTTCCGAGTTCTTCGATGAACCTCCAAAAATAGAAATACAATCAGTCAGTCTTCATATCATGGAAGTCATTGATTCAACCCACCTGCCATCCTTGTACTGCAGACTTATCAAGGATTCCACAGGTTCTCGTCTAACGACTGCTAAGCAAACTGACAAAGCTAAATCAGTATCAAACCTCGCATTACACAAAAAGACCTTCGCACCGAATGACAATTGCTCTACAATTACGATTAATTTGATGCAATTATATAGACAATCTAAGCTAATGATGATAGTCGTCAACAAACATCAGACAGTGCACAGCTGAAGCCAACATACCAGACGAGCACAAAGAGGCTGGGCTACCAGAATAATGACAGTAAAGACTTGCAAAAAGGAAACTCGATGAAATAGGCTAGTGCATAGACAATACAGATCAGTCAATTGCCACAATGTGAAAGTTAAATGAAGAAGTGGTCGCACCAAGATCAAGGCAGTACGATGTGCTGCAGTAGCTAGTAGTAGAGAGAGTAATTATTGTCAGCATCAGTACATCAATGATATGGTGCCAGCATGACTCACCGATTCTAAGTTGCAGGCAACGAGGTATTAGTAGTCGAACTTAAGGCAATCAATAGGTTAGTGATCAGGTCAATGGCGACTCGGCGAAGTCCCGAAGTGGCAAATTGAGTTGGACGAGCAACAGCCTGAGGGGGAAGACGACGAGTTGGGCCACTAGCAGGAATACTCAAGAATCGGCGAGGGAAGGTTGGATGCAATTGCCAGAGGTCGGCCTGACCTTTTATATTCCCCTCGATCTCTGAGGGCCACGCCTAAGGCCATGGTGCCTCGCTTGCGACTCGCCACACAACACACTACGACTCGATTCCAATTCGCTACACTACGAACCGACTCCGCTACACTACGACTCAACCGATCCGCTGCACTACGAACCGATCCGCTACACTACGAACCGGATCCGCTACGACACAAACCGAGCCCGCCACACTACGATCGCAGATTGCTACGCCACACGCTACGTGGCCTTAGGGTCTGGGAATCGTTCGTTCCCGAGTCGATGGCGCTGATTTCAGGGCTGAGGCAACGCTGAGGCGACCGAATGGTCGTTGAAAGTAGTAGTGCAGCTCAGACCGTGGAAGTCCATGGATGTAGAAATATAATTGTAACGAGAGCTAGAGTATAACAGCAGTGCGAGGTACTACCTGTACATAGCCTACATGTCCGTATTCCCAACGACCCGTACATTGAATGAGTAACTGCAACGCGGAGACTAACAGAAACTCATTGTGGGGACTACGAGTTGGAACTGATTCCGACAAAGTATCCCACAGGCAGTACCATTGAAGCATAACTGTCTACATGCTTGATGAAATACGGTGCAATACTCAGGAATATTGCGAACCAGGTAAGATGTGGCCGAGCAATAGTTGCCTATTCTGGTAACATCGCCAAATCCGTCACATTCGAAGATCACGGATGATACCTTGGATGATACCATACGCCGCCCCGTCAGCTGTGTTTCACAGCTACAAGGTAGATACTAGTATTGTGCTCTTTCAACAACATACTTCATTGTATTCTGAGAGCAAAGCACTCAGCAAGGCGGCGGTTACGCTCCAGCTAGAAACGTCACTGGACGTCACAGCGCGTGACGTTCCGCGTTCGCATCCGATCAACAGACGGTCAGTCGACGTCGCGACGCCGGGTCCTCGACTCCGATCCCGCCTGGGCCCTGCAAAAGACCTCCAGCCCAGTAGGCTCATCCCGCTGGGCGGATTTGACCGTGTCACGCGTGCTACCATGAAGTGGGAACACACCGAGGATGTTGATGCTCTGCATGAACAGGGCTTGCTTTCCTCACCCCGAGCTCGAGCCGGAGTAGTCTCCACAGCAGTGAACAGGCTGCAGCTTGCCCAAGTGGAGGATCTAAGTGACGCAGCGGAGGATCTAAGTTATGTGGATGATCTCAGCGATGTGGATAGCCCTAGCGAGCATAGCGACTCGGGCTATGGCGATCCGAGTTCGGACTACGTTCAGTCCGCGGAATCTAGCTCCGAAGGATTTGATGTCGAGCATTCAGTCGGAAACGACGGAAAGCGGACGTCTGCGAGACTTCGCCATGAAGCAGCACCATGTGAGTCCACTTCCTGTAGCAAGATTCTGACAACTACTGACAAACTATCATCAGATGTACGCACTTCATTGTCGCCCGATGCCGTGCTCCGGGCACGCCGAAATGCAGCAAATCAACATGAAGGCCCACAAGTTGCAAAAAGATCAAGCGGTGCAGCTTCGGGGGCTGGTGAGACACGGAAGAACGACGGGGTCCACGCCGCCAAGTAATGCCTTGACCCCATACTCCACAACCAATCATCTGATGTTCATTGCTCAGAAGTGTCCAGGACGTGAACAACAAGCACAATTTGAAGCCTAGGACCATGGCACCGAAGCCGCTCTTGCCGCTCCCTCAGACATCTAAGGGTGCAAAACTGAGGACTCAGCCTTCTCCTGAGGACCCCTTCCGGTACCACCGCATTACATTGTACGCGCAGCTGTGATGCACAGAAGTCAGCTCTTGACACTCTCGTAACCAGTTATGACAATGGTATTGGCCACCGGGTCTCCTTTTCAAAAACAAAAAGAAAGGCCGGCGTAACAGCTCTTGATGAACGCACGATTCGCGAATCAAATAAGTAGGCAGTATGCTCAGTAGCCTACCCTATGTTACTGATGCAATCCATATAGCAATGATAGTCCACAACCAAAACGTGTCAGGCTTGTGCCAGAAAAGACAGCAGCACCGGTACAGGTCCCGCAAACCACTGGCTCCGTCGTGGAGGCTTTCAGCACTCGTACTAATCCAGTAGACGCCACCCGCAACACAGCGACACCTGGGGCATCTGTATCGAACCCGAGCGGCATGCAGGGGGTTGTACAACCCTCAGTTGCACCCCATCACGATGAGTTTGCACCACTCGCGGCCGTCCCGGGAACTGGCACTCGTCCTCCGATTTCCACGACTCCGTCTCGTGCACCGGGACCAAACGGTGCTCAAGGGGCTGCAGGGCCAACGGTTGAACAGGTACCCTACAATGTCACCTTGACCCCCAAGCCATCATTCGTATCACGTCCCTCGAACCAGTCGCCAGATCCTCGTGAAGTCGGGTCCAGCACCAAGACGCGGCCGCCTGCTTCGGTGATTGCAAAGGAGCCTATAGCGGGGGACATAGTCGGCCGCGCAGGCAGCCACCCAACGAACACTGGGACTAGCAACCCAGCTCCCCAGATCCCCGCAGACTCGCCGCCTGTCCTCCATTCCATAGACCCTGATGTGCGCCGCTACCTCGAGTCGCTCGGGTTCTCGCCGGAGGTATACGCGAGCAAGCTGGAGATCGTCGGGCTGAAGAACGGAGCCATGATTAATGCTACGAAGAGATTCGTCTCGGAGGCTCGCAAGGACAAGCTAGAGGAGGATCTCCAAATACTTGCGGGACTCAGCGTTGTTGAGTCCATGGTGCTCATCTCAGGGCTAAGGCGATAAAGCGGTGCTCGAGAGCATTGAATACTCCTTGGGTAGGTTTTTGGGCTAGGACGTACTCGAGCGTCCGGAAAGTACTTTTTATTTATTTACTGTGGACTGCCAGTGTACGAGTGTCGATAGCTGTCAAGGTTCATGGATGTAGAATTGTAATGAGAGTAAAACGACAGTGCGAGGTGCTACCTGTACATAGCCTACATGTCCGTAATTTCCAACGACCCGTACATTGAATGAGTAATAACACACCGTAACATTGATCTTACATGACCCAAGCAGACAGTTATGTATGCAAGGTGCTCTGTCGGGTTTCCATCGCTTTCTGCGCGCGCCACTCGCAGCCCTCGACATATTCACAGTTCCTTCCGGACATAGTCAGACACAATACGCCGGAATAAGCACAACCGACTTACAAGCACCGCCGAGTCAGCTCGATGTCCACGCCTCTCGGCGGCCGCTGCCCGAGCCACCACTGCAGAATGTTGTCGAGATAGTCGTCCAACATCTTGTCATCGACCGCGAACTCCTTGGATCCGAGAATGCGCGCTTCGACGTCAAGTTCGGCTGCGGTGATCTGCATCCCCTCCCCGTCCGAGTCGCTCTCTTGAGGTTGCTTGCTCGTCTCGCGCGAGTCAGAGGGCTTTTCCTCGCTGTCCAGAGCAACCGTCGCCTCTCGACGCGGTGTCTTCTCTCCTTCATCCAGCTCCTCCGCGCTCGGAGTCAACGTATCTGGCACCGCGCCTACAGCTTCCGCGAAAGCATCCCGCCCGCCTTCGAGCGTAGCCCCCTTGATGTTCTCCGTGATCGCCTTCGCAAGCTGCTCGTCCCCACCGGCCCACGCGCGCGGCGCTTCATTCAGACTCGCCTCGATTGCACGAGCCAAGTCAACCGCCTCCTGATCAAAAGCGGCCTTCGCCTTCTGCGAGTGAGAAGGCTGCAGGCGGTAGACGAGAGTGAGCGTCCGGTCGACACCGGATACATTCAGCGCGGAGACGGCGTGGTACCATGCCGCGACGAGGTCGTCGAGGCATTTGATGGCTTGCAGGCCGGCGTCGCGCATGAAGGCAGCGGAGAACGTCCGTTGAGGATCGAGGCCGAGCCTCTTCCATATCGCGGGGAAGTCGATGGGCGGCGGAAACGTGTCTGTTGATGGTTGTGGGCTGTTCTGTGACGTCGGTGATGGTGGGGATCGAAGGAGGCTGCTCAGTAAACGATGGTACAGCATAAGCTGTAGGCGAGATGATAGAGTGTCTTCTTCAGGAGGAAGACTGGGTGTGCGTCGAGTCTTCGTGTCCGAGATATGCAACATGTACGAGGAAGGAGGCGCTACGATGGGTTGTCCATCATCGTTTGCGCCAGGGCGACTCGGCTGAATGTCATCAGCGGGAGAACGTGTAGGGAAGGCAGACTCGAAGTCATCGCGCTCTGGCGCTTGTACGGCTGCATGGAAGTACGATGTAAGCTGTGGTTGCGAAAGCTCGGGGGTGCGCCGCGACTTCTTGTTCCCGCCCTTCGTCGGCGTGGCCGGAGAAGCGCGCTTATTGAGACCCTTGCCGCTGCCAGGAGGCCGACCTCTTCGCCGTCTTTGCTCTGCGGGTGGTGTCGGCGTGGGTTTGCGAACTAACTCGTCCTGGTGGAGGGTGATGAGCGAGAGACCAGTGACATACACACCAGAGACACCAGAGACTTACGATGATCCCAACGACGATCTGATTATGAATGATGCCAAACACGGGCATTTCGCGCTGTGCAGGCGTTAAAATGTGACAAGCGGCGAGAGAGACGAGATAGCTACAGAGAGGCCGGATTCCATGAGCAGGTCCAAGCTAGCCAGCATGTTCACGAGGCTGACGCGTGCCATGAGAAGATCGGACTATCAAAATCGCCGGAGAACGACTTGCCGTACGCCCCAGCGTTCCTCTGATGTCGTGATCTCAACAGGAACTTCCTCCGGCCGCACCTCACGCTCCAAAACTTTATGGACCGACTAAACGAAGTCAGCATATACCAGCACTACGGAGGGTCACGTACCTGGCCACGGGTAATAACACGATGATTCTGCTGCGCGACACCTTTGTCGACATTGATCGTCTTGCCATCATCCGTCACGAAAGCATCAGGTCTCTGCTCAGGCTTCAAGTGCCGCTTCTGTCGAAGGCCATAATCAAATTGAACCTCACACCTGAAAACATCACCGTAAGGCGTCGAGTAGATGATACCGTCATGTGAAGCGTACCAAGCTGGACCCACTAAATCAGACACAGAGAAGTGCTTATTCCACTTGCGAAAGCGTTGGAAGGGGCTCCGGGTATCGCGCATTGGCGGTCGGAGCGGTACTTCCTTCGATGGTGCCTTCACAAGAGTAGAACGGTCAGCAAGTTCAGCTTCCAACCTGATTTCAATCGCAGGACCTCCTGGCTTGTTGCTGTTGTGGTCGCTGTTCGGCGCGCATGTGGTGGTCGATACCGAGGCTGCGTCACCGACGAGCGCAGCGTCAATTTGCGCAAAGTCTGTAGCCGTGAATTCTGAGAAGTCATATGCGTCAAACTCGTCGGAAGTTTCAGGTGCCGTAGACTGTGAAGCAGGTTCCGAGACCGCGGGCGGTGGGCTGTCTGCGGCGTGCCGAGGACTCTGAGACAGGCAGACGCCTTCGAGGTCCAACGGCGAGTAATATGCATCGTATTCGTCTTCTATTGCTGACATACTATACGCGGTATGAGCTCGCGCGCAGGCGGGACGAGGAGCAGGGACTGACCGGGACCACGGCCCCTGAGCGTCGGGAACAAAAACAGTCGCCCCTTCAACGAACCGTCGACGCGACGCGTGTTGTCGCGATCACGAGACGCAGACAACGGGACGCCCGCTGCACGCCGCGGTGGCAGGCCTGCAGTCGTAGTCTCGTAAACTTCCTCTCCGATGTAAGTTCTGTCTTGCTCTTCAATGTGCTGAGATTTGGTGAAACCACGCTTCATAGTATCCTTGGTATAGCAAGCTCGATATTGAACAGTGACGAGTACACATCCAGGTCTCAGGCTTAGCGGGGGGCCCCGTGACGGTTGCAGGTGCTAAAATATTGACTCGGATATGCTTCTGTGTTATTCTGTGTGTGCACTGTGCTCACAATATTTTCGTCAGTCATCACAAGGAAAACGTATGATGCAATACGAGGGTCTTTCATTGATTATCGTCGCTACGGTCGCGTATGTGGCACTGTACCGCAGAAGCAGCGAGGCTCACCCTCATGCATCCAGATCCCCAACACTGTTCAACCCTCGACATTGCTCCAACCTCGCCACCATGTCCACTGGCCGCGATGTGCCATTTCTGTCATCCGACATATTCGCGAATCATATGAACAGGGACTCCGCTATTCCGACGCGTTGTCGTGATGAATCTTCATGACAATCTTGCCAAATTTCTGCCGTGTTTTCATTAGCTTAAAGCCCTCTTCAGCTTCCTCAAGCCCATCAAGTACCACAGATACGTGTGGTACAACGCTGTGCTCTGCAATGAAGTTGGTCGCGTCAATGAGGTCCTGTCTGGATCCCATCATGACACCTGTCCAAGGAGCGTGAACATTCAAGACACGACTGGTGAGTACTTCGCGGATACTTACCGCAGAGTTGTTGACATCTCGAGTAATGGTACGGGGTGTAGATCGTCTGGTACGGCGGCGAGGTCCTGTAACGTGTGGTACGCCATCAGAGTCCATGTCGATCATACGCTCAAAGTAGGAACCTAGTATTATTACGCACATCGCGTACAACACGACTCGCCCGCCACTCTTGAGGATCGGGCCTGTCTTCATCATTATGTCTCCTCCCCCGCAGTCTATGACCGTGCTCAGGAGTGCCTTCCCTGTTCTCCCCGTCTTGGAACCGCTTTCCTCAAGTTTCTTTGCAATCTGGTCAATCCAATCCTCTTGATTGCGGCATGCATCAATGCAGAACAGGTGCTCAGCGTCGGACAGTGCTTACCGCCTTTGTAGTTCACGCCTGCCTTGGCTCCGAGTTCTATCGCCCGGCGGATATTCTCATCCGAGCTGCTCGTGACGTAGACGGTTGCACCGCGCGCAAGACAGATCTGCAGCGCCACCACCGCTACGCCACCACCGATGCCCGTTATGAGCACGTTGTCGCCCTGCCGAACTTTACCATACACAACGGCAGACCTGAGTCATCGTTAAAGAAACCTCTGAGTCTAGTAAGGTAAGTTATCTCACCTCCATGCTGTCAAGCCGCTGATTGGCCATGCTGCAGCGTGCACGTCGTCCAGATGCTCGGGCGTAGGTATGACGTCGCTTCTGTCGACGACGGCGTACTGTGCGAATGTACCGACATGCACTTTCGTACCACCTATTACGGAGAACCTGTGCATCGCCATCATGGACTGGTCAGCCAGGCTCTGCGACTCATAGCGGCCCTGTACGAACTCTGGGGATTCGGGCGCGTCAGGGTCTTTTTCCCAGCCTCGCATCGGTAGAAGAAATACTCGCTGGTTCAGGAGGGGATCGTCCGCATCTGCGGTAGCAATGACAACACCTACACCAAGGATGTCGTCGTTACTTCTCCTGCTCAGCTGAGCGTCAACTACGCTTCGTACCTGCGCCATCTCCTCCCAATGGACTATCGAACTCCGTGCCCGGCCCATACAGACCGAGACGCAACCATAGCTGCCAAGTTGTTCAGGCAAACACAGACGGCGATCACGTTATGGTAGGCTACGCACATCTCGGGCGTTGAACCCCGCCGCGTTTATTTTGACAAGGACTTGTCCTCTCTGCAGAGGAGGTATCGCCCTGTCCTGAAGCGCAGCGTCGTGGTAGGCGGGTGTGGAGCCTCCAACAGCGACGGTTCTTCGTAAAACGAGAGTCTTGGATGAGGTGGGGAGCTGCTCTGTGTTTGTCATCGTCGCACAATGCAAGGTTGACCGGACAGCAGCGGGGCCTTACGTGGCGATGGGTTTTAATCAGTCTCAGTGACAGCTAGTCCATGCAAGATACTGATGGTGGCGAATAGCGTCCCGAACTCGAGACGTGCGCTGTATTGGGGCAGCTTTGCGACGGTCTTAAGGTGTCTTGTATTAGCAGTCCTTCGTGTTCGACGTGAATGACCGAATACATACGTTAGAGATGCTCGGGTCCGGTTGTAGAGGCAGACAACCTGCATGAGTCGTCGTTAGATGCAGTTCCTTCGGGTAATATAGACCAATCAGAGTATCAAACCACTAGCAGTGGTTCGGTACCCTGATTAGTGTCGCTTTCAATCTCGGCCAGGGGTGCAATCAAGAAGATGCTCGCCAGATTCAATACATTTGCCAACGTCTATATATGTAAGTACAAGGTTCCGAGAACTGAAATGACGTCTGCTCTATCTGCCATGGGGAGCGAATATGGTGGTTGTCAGCGGGAAGGTCATATGTAGAATACATGACTTCCACTCTCCCGAGTATGAGGGAACTCCAGTGCCAGCGTACTGAGGTTCATGCGCGCCCCTCACGCCTTAACTCTCCTCGTCATCTTCACAGGAATGTGATGGACGCCGAACCCGAGGCCAGCATACTTGCCCTGCATAATGCGTTCGCGCCACTGCTCCTTTGTCTCCCCGGGCTTTAGGGGCACGGTGAACTTCCAGTCGCGCAGGAGGCAGGTCATGAGCGACATAGCGACGACGAGCGCGAACTTCCTGCCCAGGCACGCGCGCGGCCCAAGCCCAAAGTACGTCAGATCTGTCTCGTTATGTACGCCGTACCAGCGCGACGGGTCGTATCGCTCGGGGTCTGGGAACAACCGAGGGTCGTAGTCTAAGTGAGGCAGTCAGGGCGGATGAGACACGAAGGCCGCTGAGATAGGTGAAGCAACTTACGAATGCCGACCATGTCAATCATGATGCGCATGTTTGCCGGTACGACAAGGACGTCTTCGTTGCCCTTCTCGTCGGGTACCTTGAGCACGAACGTGTCGATAGTGTCCCGCGTCACGATAGCACCACCAGCTATACGTAGTTGAGAGGCTAGATATAAACACCATAGATGTCAGGTAAAGGTGCTTACGAAACATCCTGCCCGCTTCGTGGAAGCACGCCAGAACCTTGTCTAGCTTGGTGAAGTCGTCGAACGTCTGCGGGTTTCTCAGCAGCCGTAGTGTGCATGAATAACAGAGCCTCTCACAGGGTCCCGACCGTCCGGCAGAGCTTCGTGGATGGCCTTGACAGCCTTCTCCTGCTCATCTTCATGCAGGGCGAGCAATGCAAGTGCCGACGCTACCGTATGCGCAGTCGTTTCTGTACTCTGTGTCAGAACGGGGTTGTCAGAGGTCCAATCTGTCAGACCCACCATGCCCCGCGAACAAGAAGCTGAAGACATTGCCAATCTGCAGTCGGAATGAATGGTGGAAACCCATCAATGCCGTGGGTAGGGACCTACCACTTCGGAATCGTCAAGCCCGTTCTTCCCCTCAGCCTCACTGGCAGAGACAAGCCGAGTTAGGAGGTCACTCCTCAAAGGCTCCATGTCCTCCGTGGTAGACGCAAGTTCGTCCTTCTTAGATGTGACGAAGGACCGCATGAGTGCGCCGAGCTTGCTATAGGCGTCATCCACACGTCGCAGGCTTCAACGATGTCAAGACGTGGTTTGAGCAAGTGAGGTGAAGAAATCGTACCGCTCGATGGGAAGCTTGTACGCCCAGTTCGGCGTGGCAAGGCGGATGATGACTTCCTTCATAGTCAAGATCGTCGTCAATGCTCGCTCGAAAGGTACGCCAGTATTGTCAGTCGAGTTGGACCACGGGTAGCGGTAGTTGAAGGATGTCCTTGAGAGCACGCCCAGGGTGAACTGTGACGTGGTCAACTCATTACTCATGTGACAACGTAAATATCGGCACCTTGAGCATGGATTGGTCCATTGAATCGATGGTGAAGTTGCCTTGCTTGATCCAGTTTTCACCCTCGACCATCTCGTGGTACCATCTCACAGTCTCCCGAGCAACAAGAGAGTAACTTGAGAATGAGTGGGGTCAGCGAACGTATATGCATAGGGAGAAGTGAGTATGTACGTGTTGCTGGAGAATGCAGGTCCGACCACTCGGCGGTGCTTCTTGTACGCTTCATGGTTCGCGGTAAGAACGCTGTCGCCCCAGAGGCTGCGAAATTAGATTAGCGAGAATCGTATGTGTGAGTGAGTGATCATACAGGAGAGGAACCAGTGCTGAAGGAGCCTTGATGAGTTTCGGATCTCCGGCGAGAATCTGTTTGGCGACTTCCATGGACGAGGTCCAGATAACCGGTTCGCCAATGAAAGGAACGTAAGATATTGTCCGCGTGCCATAGTAGTCGTACACTGCGCATACATAGCGATCAGCCTGAGTGTTACTCGAACAGAGAAGCCGTGCAGACCTGTGTGTCTCCACTTCCAGATCCAGTTGAGGCCAGGATGAAAGTAGTTTGTCGGGATAGCCGCGCCGAACACGGAGAATTGCGAAAATAGTGTGCGGAAGCCAGGCAGATAGCTGACTTTCTGTGGACATCATCAGCACTTGAGGTAGCATGTTGAGGTCTGAACAGTACCTTGAGGTTGAAGAGAAACTGCACAGTCTGCGTAGCCACCAAGACCGCAATGACGGCGAGCACTGATGTCCACATCTTGGCTGGCAAGTCTTGCTAGAGCGACGCAGCGTCCGCGGGGCCATGGCACGACCTTTATAACATGATTGCATAGTATCGAGCCGATGCGCCGTGACGGTGGCCGCTCAGGCTCCGGTTCGTAGCTCGGACATTGTTCTGTCCCAGATGACGGCTGGCATGACGGGAGCAGTGATTCTTTCAGGGTTCTTCTGTATACTGTCAGTCGACCATAAGATGTCGAGGTGCGCTTCTTCGCCCTGCGCAATACCGCAATTGGCCTGCTATATCATTGAGTAAGAGAAAACGCTCGCGATAGAAACAGACTGACCGGTCTTGACTCGGACTGTTGTAGCTTGATTGTGAGACGAAACGTCGGAGGATCGCCTCATTTGTTTCGACTAATCTTTGCAGTGGAGCGATCATCATTCCTAAAGAGTTGCAACTTGACTAGAGTGAATTCCAAAGCGTTCTTGCTAACGTTCTCCGGTGGCATACCTACGTATGTCGCCGATGTTGAAGACTCCACTTGTCGAATGCTGTGACACTGTTCTGGAGCATTTGCATTCATGCGCTAGTAGTCGTCGCTTCGCATCGATGTAGTGCGAGAATAGCTTGAATGCCTCCTTCTGTACCGAATGCAGCTGACAGATCAATATATCCGGTACACGTCAAACAAACAGTTTCATATACTGTCCAGCGTGTGTCTTTATGCGAGGTTGCGTCAGACCTTCTGCCTTGGACAGGAAACAGCGTAGCGCCGGATCAGAGGCCTGATGAGCTGGTGCCACTGTTCGGTTGACTCGGCACCGTAGCAGTACGTGCTATTATCGTATCATCGTACCTGTATGCATTTGCATCGGTGCGGCAGATAAAACCGAATACGGTGGTCGCTCTGCGTCTTGAAGCGAATGATGCAGCGCCGGCGAAGGCGGCGTGTGGGGACTCGGCGCCTTCCTGAGTTCACGACACCGCCAGTGAACTGCGATCCTCCGGATGATACAGTACCTGGGGTTATTATTGCTGAATCCCGTTTATTGTCACGTGAGGGCAAGTACTCACCTGGGGTGCGCACAAGGTGCGCAGAACAGAAAGGAGTCGTCGCTTCAAATCAGCGTGCACTGACTTCAAGACAGCAAACCTCGTCCGGTTCAAGCGGGAATTGAAGGGCGAAGCTGTGAGCATATTCCTATTACCAATGTGCGATCATGGTTTTAAATGTTGACCATGTGTTTGGCGACGAGGTACGAGCCGGATGAAGGGAGGTTAGCACAGTGAACATCCCTAGGCCTGGATGCCCGACTCGGAGTTCAAACCAAGTACTACTGCCTTATTAGGGAACTTACCCGAGAAGCTGTGGCTGCAGCACCGGTGTTCACTACCACCACATGCTGTTGTATCCTGCTCGGTACTTGTCAACTGCTCCGACTCGGACATTTAAGGACATACTCCCCGTTCTCCTTCTCCATGAGCACATTCGAGTGAAGGGTATGCCTGTGAAAAACCATTGCCTACTACATCCTGTTCTTGTGATGATGCGTCTGAGCTTGCTTCGTATCTACCAGCGCGACGTACCCGTTCTTCCAGCGGCATTAACCAAGCCTATCCAATCTCTGGGCCGTGGTACGTCTTCAAAACCATAAATGTATCGAAAGTAGCATTTCCGAGTCCGAGTCGAGTTGATGTTTGTCCTCGGCTGCTCCCAGCTTATCGCGGCCCGGGGACATTCGTCGTGGTCATGACATACTCCTCTTGAACCATATACGTCCACAGCATTTTGACAGGGATAGAGAGCCGAATAACCTCAGCAGCCGTGTCTCGTTCCCACACGCTGCCTGGTACGACTCCCATGTTCAAATTCTTCGGCCCACATTGTAAAAACGGATATGGTTCCTCCCCGTGCATGGCGTGTTGTACTGTCGTCTCTATTCAGTTCTTCAATTTTCAGCTTGGGGCGGCAGGCCATTGGCGGACACAATGCGAATGATCGACGCCCGTCGTATCTGCGCCCGTGCTCAGAGCGGTGTATGACGGTCCAGCCGCCTGCCGCTTTACAGCAGGTCCGCAGACCTTTTTCGCTTTAATTGAAGACAGGCTCTGCCCGCGCTGAACCTCTTCTTTGAGACCCTCTCGAGTGCAACATCCACAGCATCAGCGACATGTCTTCCGGACTATGGGCCCTGATCTGGTATTGGAGACGCCTGCACAGGCAGTCCTACCCCCCGGAGCCGACGTTCAGCATGGACCAGATGCCAGACCTTACGGGGCAAGTTATGCTAGTAACAGGTGCGCATTGATGATGTCTGAGTGTCAGCAATACCGCTTATATAGCGCCCTTACATCTCCAGGAGGAAATGCAGGCCTCGGCAAAGAGACAGTCAAGGTGAGGTTCATATTGATATCCTGTTCGAAATTTGACATGACTGCCCCTGCGTAGGCCCTCTTGGAACACAATGCGAAAGTGTACATGGGCGCAAGGGATGAGCAGAAGGCGCGCGCCGCGATTGAGGAGCTGAAGGAGAAGACGGGCAAGGAGGCAGTCTTCTTGGAGCTCAATCTAGCCAACCTCGCGTCTGTCAAGAAAAGCGCGGAGGACTTTTTGAGGTCCGTCTTCGCCACTACGTGTAGTACATCGTGCCAATGTACTCTCAGCAAGGAGAAACAACTGCACGTTTTGTTCAATAACGCGTAGGTTCCTCTCAGCGCCATATCGTCTCATCACTCGGTTTCTCAGTCATTGATTCACAGTGGCGTGACTTGCATGCCCATTGAATGGGTCACCGACGACGGTTATGACTTGACATTTGGCACGAACGTGGTTGGTGAGCCTATCCTTCTCTGTGACCCATACACGGCGCTCAATACTCGCGGCAGGGCCTTTCCTGTTCACGAAGCTCCTCTTACCCACGATCCTCGCGAGCAGAGAGTCCACACACGATAAGCATCCTCGCGTCATCTGGCTCTCGTCGCTAGCGGCGTACCTGTCGCCCCTTATATGGGATACGTTCAAGGACGGGCCCGCGCGGCTGAAGGCGGGTAGCAACTCGATGTATCAGCAGAGTAAAATAGTCCGTTGGTCCCTATCATTCGTGCATTTCACATGTCTTTCTCACCATGATGTGCAACCCTGTCAAATAGGCAAACACTATTTTAGCTCGCCAATGTGCGAGGCGCTATGGGGAACAGGGGCTCGTCTCCTTATCTGTGAATCCTGGTATGGTCAAATGCCACTTAGAGGCAGGGATCTGCGACTAAGCTATATGAATGGCAGGCACTGTGCAGACAGATGTCATGAAGTACGCAACGGAGAAGGACAAGAAGTTCACGGTCAGTTGCCGGTCATTTCTGCTAACGCCGCAATTACTGTACTTTAGAACCGGAGTGAACTGATACTTCCCTCCTAGGCGCTGTTGTACACCTTTTGGCCAGTGGAGAGAGGTGTACTGACTTCGCTCTGGGCTGGGACGATGCCGGAGCCCATCAAACACAACGGCGAGGTACGCTACTGGCCCACTAAACGAAGGTCTGCGAACTGATTGTCTGCTGCTTAGTTTGCTGTGCCCTGGGCGAGAATATGCGATCCATGCAGGCCAGAGGCGTACGACGACGAGATCGGCAATAGGTTGTGGGATTGGCTTGAGGAGGAAGTAGAGCCCTACCTGAAGGAGATCTATGCCTGAGCGTGTGTTGCATGCCTTGTCTATATGTTGTCTTATCTCGCACTCTTCAATCACACATAGAGTGCCTCTTCTAGTACCTCTTCTAGTTACGGTTCTACATGGGCATGTGTTCTTCCAGACTACTGTGTTGATGGCTGGTGGGTGAACGTGCTCAGTTCTCTTATGCCGGCCTGAGAGGAAACGGCTAGGTTCTGTGTGCTCGAACGTGGATTCGACATGATGCTTTATCCGAGGATATGACCGTCGCGCTTCCACAGTATCCACTCCAGAAGCATATCGTCCGGGGTGCCGTACGTGGCACTTCGCTCATGGCAAACTTTGATGGTAAGTAGAACATCTAGAGTTAGTAGCATGACCGAGTTAATCCGAACTCCACAGGCAGTAGATGTAAACGAGGATTGTATTCGACGTCTGGTCTGACGAAACAGCACCTCAGAACTTCCACCCTCCTGTGAGACCCATCACATTCGCGGGGTCATAGGTAGCCTTGATGTGTTTCAACCTCTCCACGTTCTGCCCATACATATCCTCCAGCGGGACACCGGATATCGCGTAGTTCGGATACAACGGCGCGTCCGCGATGTCCTGACCCTCCGCGATCGCCACTTCAGTCAAATAGTCCACGCTCTGGGTCATCACCTCGTGGATGACGGTGTCGTTCTCTGGCAGCGCCCATGCAAAGTAGAGGTTGATCGGCAAGAGGGCAATCTCGCGACTGGGCGGCCAGGCTGAGGGTGAGCCGTGCGAGAGGTAGCTTGACAGGAAAGGCTCCACGTCGTAGCTGATGAAGAGCCCTGGGACGGAGGGCGAGAGCTGGGTGCTCCAGAACTATCGATTATTGTCGTTCAGTCAGATGGTCTGGAGGATACACAAAGACGGACCTGGGTTTCGTTCACCACAGCATCGAGGAACGCGGATGATAGGGTATGTAGAGACAGTGTATGGAAGGCACCTCTGGTATAGATGCTTATAAGAAGCGCTCTATATCGTGACCATCGTTGAAGAACGTACCTCAGACCTGTCGGCTCCGGGAATGCGGTAATGAGGGAGAGCAAGGAGCGTGTTGAGACATTCTGCACCAGTGCCGGAAGGGCCAGGAAGTCGTCAAACATCCCCTGAGGTGGTTCAGGTGCATGATAGAAAAGACCGAGCTCGGTGATGCGCTGCGCAGGCAGTGTCAAGGCTAGGTTAACTCAGAAGAGCCAACCTAAGGAACGGATCGACTCACTATTCCTATGGAGGAATCGTAGTTAAAAGTCGGTAGAATCGCGGCTTTCGGGTCCGTGACCGTTGAATAAAAGTTCAGAACAGCAGCCATCACCGCCTCATCCACTCCAGTGGTAGTAATAGAGCCACCCTAAAAGACGAGGTGAGATAGTGAAGATGAAGAGGCTGAAAACGGAGGGGCATACCCAGACGAATGTCTCGGCGTGCGTCTTCATGTAGATGGCCGTCATTACGCCGAAGTTGTTGAAGCCGCCCTAAGCAGACACGATCACACGAATCCGAGACCGCAATGATTCATTGTCTTACCTTCAAGCCGAAGAAGAGGTCCGAATACTGTGTAGCATCTGCAAAGACGACTTCCCCGATCGGGAGTACCACCTCGAAGCCAGTGACAGTATCTATGGTCAAACCATACTCGTTTGTCTTGTAAGAGTACCCTGAAGGTATTGTGAGCACGAAGAGTCTCTCGTTGAAAGGCTCGTCAAACCTACCTCCGCCAAGAGTGAAACCTGCCGCTCCAATCCCGCTGACGCGCCCACCTACGACGCTGACATTGAAGGGTTGGAGACCCTCGTACACATCGTCCCAGACGTTTCCTGCACCGATCTTGGCGATACTAGTCTTTGCGTCGTATATGACCTCGTCAAGCCGAGTCATCGCGATCTGTACACCGGTTGTCGCTGAGAAACCGACATTGCTGGTATGACCGGCGCCTCTGACCTGTATGACGAATGAGCTCTGAATTTATGCTGTGTTCAGAAACAGTGCATACCCCGAATGGTGTCCGGGTGACACCGAGGATGCGTAACTCAAGACGGAAAAAAGGTCAGTCGATCTAGAGGTGATACGAGCCAGGTGGACGCACGATCTTTCCAATATCTTCTGCTGTACCGGGTTCAACAGTGCAACTAGAATTAATAGTGCTCGACACAGCCCAATGGTAATTGTCCGAGGTATATTGACTAGAGCCTTGGACTGTGTCAGTGAAACATGCAGAGGGTTCAATGAAATGCACTTGCCTGGATAGAAGACGCTAGACTTGGTAGAGACTGCTTGGGCGATCGCATTGCATATGGTCAGATGGCTATGGTGGGTTCCGCTGCCTCGAACGCCGAGGCAGCCAAAGGTGGATATAGAGAGTAGGAGATACTTCAGGATGTGTAGCATCCTATCGGTTTCGCCGTTATCATAGACGGATGCGCCAGTGAAAAGGAACGTATCTAGGACTGGTGGAGATACTTCGTGCAATCACGTCAGTTGTAGAAGCCGTCAGGGCATAGGAATAGAAATGGTACGACGAACAGATAACCGGAGTAGACAGCGTGTAACATGAACTGCTGTGGTTCCTGAACGTGTTCGGTCCGACGTCGCACCCACCCGATTAGAAGTTGACGGCGGACTTGATGCTACTCTAGAGACTTCGAAGCTGCACGCAGCATGATATATTGGTGCGAGTAGGTGTCTTCTATGCTGCATAGACCTTTCTTATCTTCGGACGGAGGGAGTTGTCGCTCTCAGGACGGAATTCGAGCCCAATGCAGCACAGGTAGAGCCGAGCGCACTCAATATCGACAACTCGCATGCCAATGTCTACACTGGCCCATTGATTTGAGGTGATGTCAATTTGAACGCATGACTGGACAGGCGACTCGTGTCGTCTCCGCCGGGCAACCTCAAGTTGAGGGAACTATGACCAAATCATTGCCATTCAACCTTTCCTACGTTATGTACAGGAAGTACTCACCGGGATCTGTTCAGGCGCACCGATCAAATGCGTGTCAATAAAGCAACCCAAGACGGGCTCTGATAGTTACGCTGTGTACCGGCGGCGCGTGGTACCGACTCGGACTTGGAGAGTCCGGAGTGTTGGTGGACCGTGTCCTAATATTCGGCTCCTATGCGATGGTCAGGAACAGTTGGGATGTTGTAGACGGTGATTTACTGCGACAGGCCAAAGGACGGTGTCTTGTACGGTCCGCAACTTGAATGTCACCGTTGAGTACTGCGCGCGTGAACCTCCCTGTCGGGAGTCTATCATGCCGAAGTTGTGCATATCTTGGTATGCCAGAGTCCATTATTCAGCTTTTATGGCGATGTACTTTGCGGAACCGCTGTCTGAGACGACCTGCGTGCCAGTGTGGGTCAATGACAGTCATGGAGTTGCGCGAGTCTGTAAGTGAGTTGGCCCGGGCATTAGTGGCCCATACCACGAGGTACGGCCCGTACTGGCGCGTGACGGTGCGATTGCGGCTAGGATAGTAGCAGTCCATAATAGGAAGGTTCTGTGGTTTGCGCAGGCGGACGCAGACAACTAGCGAAATACCTCATTGATCCAGAGCAGACTGAGTTTGCGAACATGTGCGTCGAAGGTAACGTCTGATACGATATCTACACAAGAATCCAAGTACATTGAAGGATACGACGCTTTACAACTGAGACGGCTCCTGGGCTGCTACTAGTAGTAGACACGATCACTGACTCGGACAGACCGCGCATGGTGATACGGGGCACCTCCGCATAGTTGCCTGAGAAATCATACCAAGCGAGACAACTACGTCTGTCTCTTACGGAAGAAGATCTTCATCGTGTTAGCACCCCCCTGGAAAGACCTCGGCGGCTGAACGCCCTCCTTCTCCGGTCGGACGTCGTACGTTATCAAGAGATGCGCCAACATCGCCTTCAGCTCAACAGCCGCGAAAAAGCGTCCGGGGCTGCATGGGAATTGTCAGCCACCGACCACATCCAAGACTCTTTCATGATACTACAACTTACCATGCGTGCTTGCCATGTCCGAAGGGAACGTGATTCGTGCCAAGGGTAACCATACCGTACTTAGAGGTCATGTCCTCCGTGTTGTTATCTTTCTCGCGCATTTCGGAGAACCTGAAGGGATCAAACTCGTTCGCCCGGGGGTAAATGGTCTCGTCCGTGTGTGTCGCCTTCGATGCCATGGCGACGAACGTTCCCTCCGGCACGAACGTGCCATCTGAGAAGGTGTAGTCCTTCATCGCAACGCGGAAGATGTGCGCTGTGAGAAGGAGGTAAAAAGCGAGTAGATATCATGTAAGTTGAGTGAGCGTACTGTTTCCGATGCCAGCGATACGCTGGGACTCCCTGATGAAGCTATCGACCTTGTGCATCTCAAGTACGGCCTTGCGTGTCCAGCCGTGCTCCTTCAGAACGGCTTCTACTTCCTCGCGGAGGGGTTTGACATATTGCTGATTAGCCGCAAGAAGCAGGAGCGCCTGGGTTAATGTCTATAATATTGTTGAACCCCTTGCGCGGAACATTATTGCCAAAGTGAAAGAAACGCACGACAGATGAGGTGAGGATAGCCGTGCTATTAACGTGCAACATGTGCGTAACGAGTTGAGGAACTGTGAGCTTCTCATCGCAAGGCGCGCCATCGATCAGCCACTGTAGCATGTCATTCTGGTTTGGAAAAGACTGTTCAGACAATATTGCATGAAGAGAACCCCAGCAATGGCCTACCGGTCTGCCTTCCCACTTTGCACCATATTCTTGGCGCAGCCGCAGGCGCTCGGTGATCGAGGGGCCGAGATGTTTGATGCCGTTGCGCAAGTGATAGGGAAACGCAGAGAATAGTTTGCCTGCAAAGCTAAGCGATCAAAGTCAACACCAAAGTCTTATAGGAAATTGAACACAAATTTACGGCCTCAGTTCATCCGGGAAGGAGCGAATGATTAGGCCCCTGATGACCATGTCGACCGGATATTGTTTGTTGAGAGCGAGATATTCCTTGTCTCTGCCTATGATACCAGAGGTGTCAAGTCATGGACTCGTACTTCGCAATCTTTCGAGATTGGCGTACACATGGGCAGACCAACGAAGACACGACCGCTGGTTCGGGCCACGACGTCCTTGAGAATCTCAAAGGTGGTGTAGGCCTTCCAATCTGTCGAGTTTTATCTCAACTTTATATTGGAAGGTCTTGGCTGAGAAAACGTACCAGGTGTAGCAGGAACCTCCTCATCGAATGCCGTGGACAGTTCATCGTACATCGTCGGGAAGACCGCGTCGAGATTGCTCTTTAACTGCGCACGAATAACATTCGTGTGATACGCGTCGTCCGGGTGGTGGCCAAGAGTGTACTCAATCTGCAGAACCTATACGAGGGGTGAGACGCAACTCCCTTTCCGCTGATGGAAGCATACCTGACCCATAGCACGGGAAAGAGAGAGTTCGTCGTCACCAGCCTTGCGCAGCTCTTCGACCAACTTGGGCCCGGAAATGACGACAGTCCAGCCGGAGATGGTGGCGATTTTGAACGCACGTCCCTTGTACTGTTATCTTCTACGTGAGCGATATCGCTGAGAAACGGTGAGGAGATACGTGCCTTCGCGTACCCTTCCTGGAGGATCTGTCTGTCGTCGATGAGACCTCGAAAGGCGCCAATGTAAGAAAGAATAGGGAGCGATGGCCCGCCCGCGGTGGGGATGTGGCTCAGCTTGGAGACAGGCGGTCAGCAACGGTCGTTCATGCGGGCACCAGCGCAGCACTCACGGCTCTTGTCTGTCGGTGGGCACGGAACGACCAGTAGAGAACGACCCCGAGGATGAGGCTGGGCAACAGACCCAGGGAGGTGATCGCTGTCATAGCTTCCTGTACAAGCAGCGCCATCGTAGCAGTAGACGCGACCAACGGTGCGCTGGACAGGCGGAGGGCTGAACCGTCCGCTGTTAAATATGACGCGTGACATTCCGATTACAGTGGGGGTCGGTCGAACGAGGTCGTTAAGAGCCGAGCAGTGTCAAGAGATCCAAGTGGTCTCATCGGCTTTGGTTCGGATGCAGTTTACGGATGGCGTTGCGCCCATCTAGGAAGTCATACTGCGGTATCCGAGCGACGCTATCTGAGCGTGTCGCAGAATCAAGGCATACTTGTCAGGCCTAGATGCTGCATGTATTTTGGGCCACTTCCCGCTGTAAGTCCCAATGACACATCCGCCGAATAAGCTACACTAGTACTGCCCAATTGGGTTGTCAGCGAAGCTCTACTAGTAGCAAAACATGAAGTGCACACACCAAGTGGGGGACATGCTCCTGCTTTTGTACGTCTGCTCCCCTGAGCCAGTAACTTAGCCCTCGAGAGCTCGACGGGCCGCACATAGACTCAAGAAGTGACGTTCTGTAGATCGTTCTTGTGACGTGCACTCAACATAGGAATGCTTACGTGGCAGAAGGGTTAAGGTTCATCGGGATGGCGCCCAAATATTGATTTTGAAGTTCTAGATTGGGAACGATTCAACCATTGACGACAAGATACGGTGTAAAGTAACTCCCATACCAGAATCGCCTACTCCCTCAAGTCTAGTGGTAGACCGACTGAGCATTATCATCCTGAGATTGGTGCCACCCGCTATGCGTCAGCGTCGGGCGACCGGCTACAGCGGCGACGCAAAACATGCAAGGTCCCATAGTTCGTCGGTTCCGCACCATCATCAGAGCATCTGTAATGTACGACACGGGCGATGCGTGGTGCAGCACACGCGAACGGACGATACGGCAAACTCCCATTAACGCGGTGAGACGATTCTCGTACGATGCACCGTGCCATGATCCAGGCTGGACGAACTTGTCCGCGTCCTCACCGAAGTGGGTGATACGCCGAATTTGTCTGTCTGACGCGGCGTTGGACCGCTGCCGAGATGCAGTTGTTAAGTTATGGAATGCGGAGTACCTGTAAAAACCATTTGAATATCATGAGGGGTTCAAAAGCGAAGACTGGACGAGGACTCGCTACGTACATCCCACTGCTTTGCTTCGTCCGCTCTGTTCCTCGAGATACACATGGGCTCCATTGAATCTCCAAGCCGCGTCGCCATCGTCACCGGCGCCGCCCAAGGCATCGGGCGCAGCATCGCCCTCCGCCTGGCGGAGGATGGATTGAACGTGGCCATCAACGACATACCATCGAAGACAAAGCAGATCGAGGAGGTCGTGGCGGAGATCAAGGCGAAGACGAATGCGAAGGTGGTCGCTGCGCCAGCGGATGTCACCAACGAGGAAGCGGTCCAGGCCATGATTGCTTCTGTGGTCGAACAGTTGGGTGGACTGGATGTGGTACGCCTGTCGAATGCGCTGGTGTCGGGTGCGGGACTGAGATGACGCGTTTTAGATGGTCGCGAACGCGGGAGTGATGTCCTACGGTCCCCTTTTGATGGGTATGTTGGATCTAATCGAAGAGCTGTTCTTCGCCGACGCATTTGTGCAGTCCCAAGCGAGGAGTGGGATCGCGTCATAAATATCAACCTGCGAGGCGTAATGCTTTGCTACAAATATGCGGCGAAGCAGATGGTAGAGCAAGGAAGGGGCGGACGGATCATCGGTCAGTGACGCTAGCCTCACCTCAAGACGATACTCATGGAATTTCGGATGAGTAGGGGCGTCGTCTATGGTCGGGAGACATGGTGAGGACCTGATGCGGACTCCCAGCCACATTCTCATCGCATGAGCCAGGTGTTGCGTACACGTCGGCCTACGCGGCTTCGAAGTTCGCCATCCGTGGTTTGACACAGTGTTTCGGTGCCTAAAATGCTTGATCCATAGACAGAGACCGGCTGAAATGCTTTGATATAGCATCTGAGCTGACAAAGCACAACATCACTGTCAACGTATACGCTCCGGGCGCAATCCGAACAAACATTGGTGAGTTATTCTGGCACGAAGAAAGTGCGTCACTCACCATCATCCGTTCACAGTCAGCATAGAAGATGCAAAGGCGCAGGGCTTGAATTCTTCTGCCATGTCCAAGCTCCCCATGGCGGAGCCGGAGGTCATCGCTAGCCTCGTGTCGTACATCGCGAAGCCGGAGGCATTCTTCATTACCGGTATGTCTTCCATGCGTGCGGCAGACGGTTGAGGGGTCGTTGACTCTGTTATCCAGGTCAAACAATCTCGGCAAATGGAGGGGCACACTTCGATTGAACGCCGCCTTCTAATCGTTTGCACAGGAGCTGGAGGGTCCGATGAAGCTCGTTAGAAAAGTTCGCGCAGCGCAGTGCAGACCTATCGACGAGGGCCGAACGCGTCGTGCCGATCTTCCATGGACTGCAGGGCCGCAGTCACGGAAGTTAGCTTGGATAGATCTCCGTTGTTACCGACAGCGCGCTGGACGTGATTCCGTCAATGGCTGTTCTTGTCTAGCTCTGCACATTCATGAACCGGTTGCAATAACGATGACCCCAAAAAGCCACATCGCGATTGATGGTTATGGAGATTGAGGCGACGAACATGTCGTCGGGCAGATATTCTGAACCATGGAGTGTTCAACACGGATCTGGTGTCATACGTGTCTGGCAGGATAGACACATCACCGTCAGGTGTGCCAGTCGTTGCCAGCATCGTCAGACACAGCCAAAGCCCATTGGCCGCCCGACTTCATGGAGTGGAGAGTCTCTGACTCTGAGTTCGCACGACGAGATTTTGTAGGCGGCCGGAATGCTATGCGCGTACTAGTAGCACGTTGCTCTCGTCTTCGAAGCAGCAGTTGAGCTGCGCAGCATATGTTCGGGACAGATACGGTGCGGACTTACAGCGCTTGGACGATAATGATATCATCCCGCTAATTCTATGTAGCAGGAGTCAGTTCGTCGCTCTTCGTCGGTACACGTGTAAGAGGTTCTGCATACAATGTTGGCAGTGCTGATGCGGCATGCTGAGAAGAGGGCGGAGGCAGTTTATGAGAAAGATATCTCTACGATTTCTTCGGAGACCTGAGAAGACGATGAAGCCACACGTACATCACGGCATTGCCAAGTGCTGAGCGTTGGCTGACCGCAGAGAGCGACTCGGAGGGGTAGAAGAGCAGTGTGGGAACGACATACCGGAGTAGGCAATCCCGTTCATTAGCCCATCGAGATCAACGAATCTCGATCCCATCAACACACTTGTACCTGTCTTCTGTCAAAATTCGCGCCTTTCCCTGTTTTGACTCAACACCACCATCAGCCACCATCTTGCACTGATAACTGGGCACCGCCGTAATGTCCGACGTCCTGGGTTCGACGGCGAGCCACCGCAGGCTCCTGGCTTGCACGACCGGCTGAACAAGGATAGGGTCTGCTTGTTTTCTGGCGCCAACAGCGCAGATGCATCTGACCATGGGAGGCTTCGAGGAGGCGACCGGTGAGTGGAGCGCCTCGCAGCCCTAACAAACTTCTGGAACAGGGAGGCCGGCATGCGTGCGGCGTGCGCTGGGACGGGCGACTGAAGTCCGCGGCCATCGCTTGGGCGGCTTGGCCGCATCGACATCGCGTCACAGAATTGAACGTGGCCGAGGCGCGTCAGGGCGTGTCCTCTGCCGGCCTACCCAGGGCCTATCACGTTTATTATCCACTTGCGACCGTCTTGTCTTTTGTCCTTTCGCCCGGTTCCTGTGCCCCTCCTCCCTTTTCTCCTCCTTTGTCGCAGCCCGAGCCCTTTTCTATCGCGACTTTCATCCAGCCACGCGAGGTGCCCGCCCGTGTCGTCTCTTCCCCGAGGTTCGTGCCGTCGTCTTTCTTTCACAGAGACCCTCTGCCCGCCTCCGAGATGCGCCTTGCCCTCCTCTCTGCTGCCGCCCTCGCGGCCGTCCTGGCCGTCTGCCCCGCATCCGCGGTTGCAGCTGCGACCAAGCGTAACGACAACCACGACAACGGGCCTACTCCTCCTGGGCAGCCCGGCCCCGAGCCCTCGCATCACTCCCCCGGCAAGGGCCACGAAGGCTTCCGTGTCGGGACTGTCATCCGCAAACGCGACGGCTCGCTCCAGCTGCCCGTCGTTCCCCCTGAAGCGGACGTCTCGCCGATCCTCTGCCCGCAATCCATGGCCGTCTGCCCGATCACGGAGACCATCCCGGACACCCTGGAGAAGTGGGTCTCGGAAGGCTTCGAGTGCGTAGACTTGCGCGAGGACCTCACCTCGTGCGGTGGCTGCGGGATAGTCGACGCTCAGTGAGTGGCATATCTGTCGTGGTGCTAGGGCGGGCAGTACTGATTGACTGTGCGCGTCCGTGATTCAGATACGACTGTACCGCTATTTCGAACGCCCTCGGCGTCTCGTGTGAGGTGGGCACCTGCCGCGTGCACTCGTGCAAGCCGGGCTTCACGCTCGCGCTCGACGGCAAGAGCTGTATCTCCACTGCATGAACACTCCGCGACCCCCGAGCTCGCGCCAGCCGCGTGAGCTAATCGGAACACCACGACCCATGATTCAGACCACTCCGACGACATGTCGCCGGTATAGATCACGACAGCCTCGCCGACCACGACGTCATGACACAGTATGGCCTCTGCGCGCGATGCTGTGCCCTGCGTCTCTTTGGTAGGGTTGACGGACATCTGTATTTATAGTTTCTCGGACACAGTCGATGGTGCTTGACGCCATCGAGGACCCTTCTGTCGTTCCCGTGCACTGTTCCAATTACTGTTGTACCTTCCTTTCTGTGCCGCCTGGGCTAGACACTCGTGTACTTTCTACGTTCGTTGCGCGTTGCGTTGCTTTGGGCGTCGTTCCAATCGTCCCTTTCCTCGTTTCCTGATTCTAGCGCACCACGAGTCCCCGAGGACGCTCCGTCTCAGGGGCAGGGAACGCTTGACGTTTATTTATCGCCGAACGCTAGCTAGAAAATCCCTGACACTCTTAGCCCCTGGTACACCTAGACTTCACCCACCCGCCACACAATGCTAGGCCATCTAGAGTGTCATTTGCAATTGCCCCTTTACCTTTCTCGTACGGATCGCCAGTTTCATTTTGTCTGGATATTGGATATTGTATCGTGGCGCTGATCCTCTCCATAGAACACTCGGCAGCGGGGATAGAGCGTCAGGGCCGAATGCCATTTCATATACCTCCTTTACATGAATGTGCGAAGTGATGACTGTGGAGGCAGGTGCGCATCAGACTAGCCCCTCCCGGAAAAGGTGAGGCGTCCTTGCTGTCGGGTGGGGTTTACGTTTTAGGCATAGGCAGGATGGAAATGACATGCCTCGAGGCTATCTGCAGGTGCCAGGGGAAGACTAGGTACCCGTGGACGGCGTGCGCACACTTCACGGATCGGTTGGATTGGCCGCATAACAGGAAACGTCTGAGCGAAATCGCCGCGTCGGAGGTGCGAGCTGCAGGTTCCGTTCAACGGAAGTGAACGCAGATGCCAACTAGAAGCCTCGGGTATTATGCATGCTTCAGACCTTCGGTGACGAGGTGTGCTGAGCCGCCCATTACACAACGCGGTCGAACCTGCGAAGGTCTGGAAGCGCGCGACTCGGAGGTGCATCATGACAACCGCCGTGAGGGTGTCTACCTGATAGTTACATAGACTTGGGGAGTTGACCTGGAGTGAGTGAAGCAGAACAAAATTGCTTATTCTGCGTGGAGTAAGAAGGGAGCAGGGGTTACAAATGGGCTCGCCAATGACCAGAACCTCCGTCAGCCGGTCTTTGTAGGCCTCTGAAAAGTATTACTGGTATGTCCTGCACGCCAGACAATTCAGAGTCAGTCCGAGATGACGGGCCCCGCAAAGGAACACGTAGTGCTCTCTAGACTGAAGAGGCAATGTTCCACAACTTGAACGACACAATTACATTGGTATCACAAATCATCATACAGAGTACACCTCAGCATAGACAACACGTCGTCCGGCTGGTACAGAGACGGGACAGCTAGTTGTCCGCTCTGCCACCGGAGAGCGATACTCCTTTCATCTGATCCTGGAGTTGCTGTACTCCCTAGGGGCTCATCGTAGTCGACGAAGTATGGACTGGAAGACCGCTTATGATCGGCTTGGTCAATGCCCGGCTGCTGGGTCCAGCTGCCTGCTCCTCTTCCTCTTCCTCGGAGCCATCCTCTGAAGCCGATGGCGTAGGGGGACCTGGCTTGCATTTCGGCTTGTGGCGCTTCCAGTCCTATCCGTAATCGTGGAGGTTAGCGCAAGAATAGCTGGAGGAGAAAACATGAGTCGCACCTGCTTTTGACATTCCCTGCTACAGTACCGCGGCTTGTACGGCTCCGTACATTTCCCGTTACATTTCATCAGCGGCGCGTCCTTCGTCCCCTCCAGCCAACATTCCGGCCATGCACAGCGCTGCACGTTTGGCTCCTCGCCAGCCTCTAATTCGCGCTGCTGACGCTCATACACGCATCGAAGGTCCTTCATTGTGTCGAAGGGGGAGACCTCCCAATACTGCTTCCCCGACTCTTTCTCGACAGCTTCGTCGATGTATTCCGCGGTCGCAATGACGGCGGGCGTGAAGTACCCGAGGTGAGCGGCCGCGTTTGCGGCCTCGGCGGCGCGCGTCAAGTCACCCATCTTCGGTTTCCTGCTGTTTCGGTGAACCTTCTCGATGTAATACCACGCGATGCATGAATGTGCTTGCGAGAGGATTCGTCGATTGGGAGGGGTTGCGAGTCTCCCGCCACGCTCGACGTCGATGAGATACAGCCATTGTTCCAACCCGACTCGAGGATTCTGAGGGGGTCCGCCCTGGCCTGTATAGTGCCCTACGAGCAGCAGATACACCTCAGTACGCGCGCCTTCTCTCGAAGATTGGGATGCACGCACGTATGCCGAGTTCGAGAATATCTTCTGGGCTGCCCTTGGCTGCTTCGCTGCGGATCTCGAGCTCACCCTTGGGGCACATCCTCCCACTCGCCACCACAAGCGCCATTGCTGTCGACATCTCGTCGTCGTCGCTCATGATGCATTCCTTGTCGTACGGTATCAGGCATTTCTGCATGAATAGCGCATACTCCCGGAACTTCTGTGTGAGGCGGAAGGCATGTGGCGGGTATCCCTTGCCCGAGAGACAATGTTCGTCGATCTCTATGACATCGGAGGGCATCGTGATGGTCGAAGGAAGACAGTCACAGAACACCAAAGAACACCCTGCAACATGGCTTGAACGTGTTAAGTAGTATTACGTTGCAAGGCAAAAGCAAGTGTGATCAACACGATCACATGCACCGTTGTCGCGCTTGTGGCTGAGGTGCGCACTTGTCACCGTCCTCGCGCCACCAGTGACATAGTCGCCCTCCTCCGTTCGTGTGACATCATCCACGAGTAATCCGACGTGTAGGCATCGAAGATAGCTAATACAGTATGCGTGCGATGTATGGATCCTGCTCAAGGGATGGTAGACACCGCAACTGCAATCTATCAAATTGCTGTACTCCCGACTGGCATCTAGCTGCAATCCCAAGACTGAATCCGATTGTAGGTTATGAAATAGAAAGGAGACTTGTAGAAGGAGAATCGTCGACACATCTTCATTCCCGGGACCTCCCATCCGCAAGAGTCAGCCTCTCAATCTACTCGCGCACCGCCCTCATCATCGCAGGACTCATGGTCGATGACGCAATTTGGACCGAGCCTCCTGGCATCTGCGGAGCAGTCGCGCGCATATTGTACTCCCTTCTTGGGTCATGAGGGAGTGGCTGTTCCGTGAAGTTTCCTCCCGCGGGCCGGGTCGAGGCAGAGTCAACCTCGAGTGTGTCCGAGCCTGAGCGTGCGCGAGGAGGCTGTACGAGTTCCGTGGATTTCGGCATAGATACGCCGGGCTTGCAGTACGGTTTGTGTCACTTCCAGTCCTACCATAGGTCATGGATATCAGTCTCCAGGAACAGCACTAAATGCGCCGCACGGAAGTCGGGACATACCTGCTTCTGGCATTCCTTACTGCAGTAGTGCGGCTTATCCGGCTCCGTGCACTCGCCCGCACACCGTCTTAGCCCAGCCTTCCTCGCCTCGTGGCCTCTATCCCGCATCCAACAGCCGCACACCGAAATTCGCCCGGCGCTCGCTCAACCCTCCTTTCGCGCGTCCTGTCCTCGCGCTCTACCTCACGCTTCCTGCGCTCGTATACTCTCCGGAGCTCTATCAGCTCCGAGAAGTACGCCGTCTCCCAGACGTTTCGAGCAGGCCCACCGACGGAATCCAGGTGGTTCAGGTTGCCGATGTACATCGCGATGGAGAGGGCGGTCGGGGTCGTGTACCCGAGCCCTGCGGCCGTGTTGGCTGCCTCAGCGGCGCGCCTGAGGTCGTCAATTTGGAGTGTTTGATTTGGCAGGCGCGACTTGTTGTTATAGAGGCTTGCGATACAGGAGAAGGCTTGCGCGGTGATGCGTCGGCTGGGTGAACTCGAAGGGCGCTGTCCATGCGAAAGGTCGGTAAGGCGCCACCATTGATCTAGAGCCCCTTGAACGTCTTAAGCTGGCCCGACGTAGCCTTTGTATAGCCCTGGGTGCAAATCTGTAGTTGAGTAACAATATCCCGACTGTCCGAGGTCATCTGAACACGCACGTATGCCCCATTCGAGAATGTCCTCAGGGTTTCCACTCCCAGCACCTGAGCGAACGTCACTCGCGCTACGCGAGTGCACCCTGTTCAGTGCGGTCATGATCATGTCTTTCGGTTGCACCTCCTGGTCGTACGTCCTGAGGCACCCTCCCACAAACCCGGCGTAACCGGTGAATTCCGCAGTGATAGTGGTTCCAGAGGGGAACCCCATGCTGGCGAGACTTTGCTGGCGAGCCTCTATGTTGATGGGAGGCATGCCAGTGTGGGAGCTAGAACAGTTATGAATGAGGTTCAGGTAAGCAGTGCTGATGAGTTGAGGGTAAGAGTGAGGATTCTTTCGGTTCGTCCAAAGTGGGGCGCCAACGCGCACACGTGGTCTGGTGCGACGCGTCTGTGGCAACAGGGCTCTGGCACTACTGTACTATCACGCCCACCTAGCATGCGCACGCATACTAATTCACATCCCAAGCATTTGATCCTGTATTTGGGGTATTCCGTGTCCTATATTAATTGCAAGTAAGTTTGTGTATGCCAACTAGACGCCTCGTATACATCATGATCTGCCCTTGTTCAACACTCAATAAGTCCTCGCGACGAGAGTACTCGCTCTCATGAGCTCAGGGCCTCGCAATCTCCTCCTTCAAGTCCTTGAGCATGGCAGGTGTCATCATCGAGGATGATATCTGCAGGGAATGGCCCGGTCGACCTGGCGTAGGCACCGTAATCATCCGCTCTCTCCCAGGGTCCTGCGGCAAGAACTCTTCGTCCCAAGGACTCCGCTCGGAGGATACAGCATCAGAGGACCTCTGAGAGGCAGTCTTTGCGCCGTTTGAAGTGGATACCCCTGCGAAGACTGGAGCACCTGGCTTGCACATTCGCTTGTGTCGCTTCCAGTCCTGCGTGCATAAATGAGCGCAGGCAGAGGGCACGATCTATACAAAACCTACCTTCTTCTGGCACTCCTTGCTGCAGTAGTGTGGCTTAGACGCTTCCTCACACTTTCCGGCGCACCTCAGAAGCGTAGCCTTCTTCGTCCCCTCGATCCCACACCCCTCCGCCGCACACCGATATGCGTTCGGCGCGCGCGCAACCTTGCGGTCTCGCGCCTGCTGCTCCCGCTCGATCTCCCCATTCCTCCGCCGCCACACGCGCCACAAGTCCGTGAGGCACGCAAACTCCGGGAGCTTCTTGAACGACTGGTATGCGTTGCTCGGGAGCCCGAGCGGCATGGCGGCATACTGCGCGATGTTGAGGACGATGGGGGTGACGAGCCCTTGCGCCGCGGCGGCGTCAGCGGCGATGGCCGCGCGGCGCAGGTCGTCGATTTGGATCGTCTCTTTGTCGACGTGCGCACGGTCCTTGTAGACCTTCGCCTGGAGGGCATAGGCTATCGCGAGGATGCGCCGGGGAGGCGGCTGCGAGGGCGGAGAGCTAGGGCTGGTGATGTGCTGCCATGTAGTGAGTGCCTCCGGGATATCTTTGACCACTCCTCCGCAACCCGTGTAGAGGCCTAGGTGGAGGTGATCAACGCTGATCAGCATGAATGTGATGCCGAAAAAGACCTGCAACGTACGCATCCCTAGCTCGATCATGTCTTCCATACGTCCTGCGAGAGCTCCTACAGAGAGCTCCCTAATATTGCGGGATCTAAGCCGCGCAAACGCTTCCTTGAAGAGATCGTTGAAGTCGACATCGTCTCCGTAACTGCGACAGCATCCCTGGAGGAGCTGGACATAGTCGGTGAGCTCGTCGGTAAGTTGAAAATCGGGCGAGAGGTCATGCTCAGCAAAGGAGAGGAAGCTGGAAACATGGTGAAGCGTTCTCGTCTGGGTGGACATGTCGCATCTTCCAGTGGTTTGGCATGAAGGACACGTCCTCCGCTGTTGTCGATTTCATCTGGGTATGCGAGACTAAGTACTTGGATGCCGCGTGAACTCACCAAGCGCCGACCCGTGCGATCTTGGTTGTGAAGCGCGCTCACGTGTTTGCGACGCGTCTGTGGCTAGACTCTGCAACGACTACGCGACGCAAACGCGCGACGCGATGCAAATCGTGTGGCTGCAACCCTACATATCGCTGCAATGTACTCATATGTCCCGACAAACATTAGTGCCGAGAGCTCACATTACATTCAGGGATCGCAAGGAGCACGTCCTTCACCGGTCCCGGATCGGGCCTAGCTGACATGGCGACGTAAGTACAGCATCAAGAGGCTACAAATTCAGTATCAAAAAACTACGTTGGTCAACAACAACTTCCCAGGGTATCGTTCTCCATACCAGGCAGAGCCTTTACGGGGATCAATAACAAGCAAATCATAGCGTCAAAATTTACCCATGTCCAAGGAAAGCTTCTCAATCTCGTCCCTTACTTCCTTCAGCATCTCGGACGACATAGTAGAAGACGCTATCTCGAAGGATTGGCCTGGTCGCCCGGGTGCAGGCACCGTGATGACGCGTTCTCTTCCCGGGTTCTGCGGCAAGGGATGCTCATCCCAGGGATCGCGCCCAGGGGACGCATCATTGTCCTGTCGAGTAGTGACGTCTTCAAAGGGACTGCCTGCCCGGCTCGGGACGCCTGGCTTGCAGTTCGGTTTGTGCTGCTTCCAATCCTGGCACATGGGTGAGCGCCGACGGAGGGCACATTCTACAAAGCACGCACCTTCTTTTGACACTCTTTACTGCAGTAGTGAGGCTTGTACGCGCCCTCACACTTCCCGGCGCACCTCATGAGCGCGGCTTTCTTCGTTCCCTCGATCCCACAGCCCTTCATGGCGCAACGATACGCATTCGGCGCCCTCGCAACCTTGCGGTCGCGCACAAGCTGCTCCCTTGCCATCTCCTCAACCCTCCGGTCCCACGCGCGCCACATATCCTCGAGACCCACGAACTCCGGGAGCTCCCTGAACGGAACGGGACCGGTCGCCACGTATTCGGCGACGCGCAGAACGATGGGCGCGACGAGTCCGAGTGCAGCGCCGGCGTTGGCTGCCTTGGCCGCGCGGAGCAGGTCGCTGATCTGGAGCCGGCCTCTCGTTATGTCCACAAATGCGCGATCGTCGTAGACTTTGGCTTGGAGGGCGTAGGCGATTGCGAGGACGCGTCGGCTGGGCGGCTGCGAGAGGGGCGGCATGTCCGAGCTAGGGCTGACGATATGCTCCCATGCAGAGAGTGCAGTTGCGACGTTTTTCTCCGCTCCTCCGGAGCCTGTGCAGAACCCTGCAGACAGACATTCGACATGAGAACTGAACAAGTCGATGTACGAAGAAAATGCAACTCACGCATCCCAAATTCAACCACGTCTTCTGCGTTTCCAGCGAGGACACCGTTCGCTACCTCTTTGATACTACGAGCGTTTAGCCTGGTGAACGCTTCGCTGTAAGCCCTGCCCAAGTCGTTGCTTTCGTTCACCTCGTAGTAGCTGCAGCAACATCCTTGGAGCAATTGGACGTAGCCGATGAGCTCGTCGGTGCAGTCAAATCCAGGTGGATAGCCAGTTGCACCGTCATGGGCGACTTCGGTAGAGAGGTGGATGCGACGCGCGATTTCTTGATTGGCCATGTCCTGTTCGCACGAACGGCGCCGGAAGGCGTGTTCCGGTTCCGCGGCGGGTGTTCTGGAGGGACTTGTCCGTTGCGGGGCACGGTGGGCGCCAATCGGCACGATCTCGCCGCCCCGGCCGTCTGTTTGCCTCCGCCTCCGCGTCCTCCCCCTCTCCTCCTCCTCCGCCTCCGCATCCTCCACCTCTTGCGCACTCCTCACGCCCACAGAGCCCATCTCGTCTGCTGTGTGCGGGCACCGTATGTTTTTGTTTTCTGGTAGTTGCAGTCGAGACACGCCCACCGTCGTCGAGAGCGCTGCTCCGGGTCTGGCCGTGCCCGGCCGAGAATGTACAATGGCGCCATTGTCGACGTTGGACCACGTCCAAATCCAGCCGGTCATGCTCCCAAGTCTCAGCCCACTCAACAAAAGCCGTGCGTCAACGAGGTCATAGAGCGGTCTTCGCTCTCTCCTGCGCCCTCAGCGTGAACCCCATGCTCCTCTTCCGCTGAGCTCGTCATAGCGCTGGCCAACCCCGGAGTCTTGTCCTGTAGGCGTCGAGTGGGTGTAGAGGTGCGTCATTGGACGGCCATCGGATATCACTAGTTTGACTGACGGTCGGTTTGACCACGCACAGCTAGTAGCTGGCCCGTCATCCGCGCGGATATCTACACCAGACCACGACTTGCTCCCTCCCATCCGTCTCACAACATCCGAAAAACAACACATCCTTGGTTGGGGCCGTGGAAGCACATCCGCCACGGCGATTACGACCCATCATGACTCTAACGCTTGCCCGACTCAGAGACAATCTTGACGATCTCTCACCCGCCCAGAGAGCATGCTTGATGCTCTTCGGGACGGTGTCGGCGGTCATCGTGTTTCCGTTCATGCTTCTGTTTGTAAGTACTCTCGATTGTCACTGATCCCCGTGCATCTCCTTATCCTTGTTGTGTCGTTCACAGAATCTCGCGTATCTTATTGCGACAAAACTATGGATGACTTCACAACCTAATGAGGTGGATGGAGAGGAGTTTGATCTAGGCCCCGCGCGCGAACGTCGTGGATCAGTGGACTCAGCGATCTCTTTGCCTCCGTCTTATCGCAGCCGAGACGCAAGTCCCGTCTTCGACTACTCCATGCCCACGTCATCCTCTAGTCCTGAGATCAGGCAGCTCAGGCGCGCGAAGGTCTACATTGATGGCAGCCCTCGCAGCCCTACCTCCTCCACCCATCATCCATCGCCCTCCACCACCGTACTCGTCACAACAACCACCGAATACGACTACGTCGTCTATTACTCCTCACGGACTTCATCGCCGACTTCCTCACGCTCAGCCTCCAGCACCTTCAGTGCACTCCGGCCCGTTCGCCGGCTCTTTCCGTCCTTACACCGCCGCGCGACGTCTGACTCTGACCCTGCCGCGATGTCCATCATCTCCTCGCAGTCTGCGCCCTCATCGCTCGGCTCAAACTCATCGTGGTCCTCGCGCTCGGCCTCGGGTACTTCCTTCCACCCGACGCACCGCCGCACGTTCTCGCAGGCAAGCACGCAGTCGGGTGCCACGAGGGCAGACGGGCGCTCGGTGAATGCGCTTTCTGGCGAGGTGTTCGAGCAGCGCTTCGTCACGCCGTTCACGTTCAGACGTTCGTCCAACCCCGTGGCCAGCCAGCCGGTGTCGCCGAAGACGCGTCCGTTCAGCCCGGGCTTGAGTCGGTGTGATGAGGCGAGGCCTGAGTACCTGGAGGGTGCGGCGGAGGTAGTGTGCCCAGTGTCGACGGAGAAGGTCGATCACGCTCGGGAGCGCGACGACCGCGAGGGGAAGCAGAAACTCGGCGGGCTCCGTGGGCTCGGGAGGAAGATCCGCAGGAGAGTCGTGTCGCGGAGGCGGCATGAGGAGGTGGGCTCGCACGGCTCTGGGTCGAACTAGCCGCTTGCGGCTACGGACCCTTCGTCTGCATCTTCCAATTTCTCTCCCCTTGCATCGCATCGGTATCCCTATCCCCATCTGCATATCACGTACATAAGCTATTCCGTATATAACGACGTCATGATACCTATATTGTACAGTATAGTATAGCGCAAATCTGGTGGTAATACTCATTTGGAATTCGAGAGCGATGTATGCATATGATGTTGAACTCAGCACGCCTTGTTTGCTTGTGGTTGCTTGTGGGGTTTCTAAATGCTAAGACTCTAGTAAGACGCGGCGAACGCCCTCATTCGAGAGCGAGTCGAGTCGAGGAGGAGGGTTCAAGGTTGCCGCCGACATGACACGGTAACGTGATGGAATCGCGCTATGCGGTGCGGTCATCGACGCGTTTATACGGTCGGACTCGATCAATAATCTAACCTACTGCTCAGTGATCAGTGCGTAGTTACATCTGGCAACACCGGGTCTACACCGTGATCTCCAAATATGACTACGGTAGTAAGCCTCCCCAGATCTTGCTAGTGGTAGGCACAATGTCGGCGCCGGGGATAACAGTCTAGACCGGACGTCCAGTCATTGGAGCCCGGCGCCGATCGTTCGAGAAATGGGCGTTGAGGCTGTCCGACGCAGGGAGTCCGGATGACGGGTATTTTAACGTCGACCAGCAGGCGTTTCCGCTCAAGCGCTCACTCCAGAACTCCAGACGCACGAATCCCGCTCTACAACGCGGGTAGGCGGATACGCAAGTCCATATGCGGCGCGCATATGGACTTGCGTATCCGCCTATCCGTCGTAGCAAATAGGTATATAACCCATGCAGGACTTCGACACGAATGTTACACATTCAACATCACCACTAGCCGTCTTTGCAACCTCAATGCCTACCGCTCCCCACACCACTCGCGCTACCCGGTCGGCTCAACAATCAGGCGGACGGAGGCGCAATGCTGCGCCGCCGAAGCCCATTCCAACCTCTCCCAGAACTACCGTCCTCAGCGGGAACTTAGCAGAACCCTTGCCTTTCCAAAGGGCCATCTGCTTGACTATCATCGGCTACCTGTTAATTACTCCCATCCACATCGTATACGTGAGTCGTTTGCCTACTCAAACACTGACCAGTTCTGACATTGGTTGCACGCACCTTCAGGGATGTCTGTGCTGGGCCGTAAACGCTGCTGTGAATGCATTTGTTGCGAGCAACGAACTCCCGAAGAAGCAACCTCCGACACGCACCAGGCATAGCAGGAGAGTCACTGCGCCCCCCGTCCGCCCTCGCGAAGTCAAGGCGGTGGTATCATCATCGTCCGATGCATCGTCGTCCGACACCGACGAGCACGCTTCCGCTAGCGAGGACGACGAGCACCGCACGACGTCGTCTGACGAGCGCAAGGCGCTTCCCGCGATGCTGAAGAAGCTGGCCCATCCTGCGCAGATGATCAACATGTCGAACATCACGAACAACATCACGAACTTCAAGGCCCACAACTTCCCCCGCCGACGGTCTTCCGCTGTTGACTCGGGCAACAGCCTGTCGACCACGGACAGCACAAACCGCTCTACCGGAGCGTCGCTGCCCAGACGTATGTCTTTCAACCAAGTGCAGCGCATCATCCCCGCCGTCGGCCGCCGCAGAGCAATGTCAGATGCTGCCGTCCCTGTCTTACCCGCCAACTCAGCTCCTGCGACGAACAAGCGCCGTGCAGCCTCGCTACCCAATCCTCCGCCCTCTTCCACGAACGCACCTCCAGGCATCCCCGCCCGCGAACCCCGTCCCGACGGCCGCCCTCTGCTTGCCCCTCCCCGGGTGACCTTCGACCAGCAACACGGAAGCCCGACTCGGATCTGCATCCCAAAGAGGGTGCGGGAGCCGTCGCGCGCAAGGTCAGACAGCGCTGTGACGTTGTCGAGCTCGTCGAGCTCTTCGAATAGCACCGAGTTGAGTATGCTTGATACGAGCATTGAGGAGGAGCGAGAAGATATCGGCGACTCGGACACCGGCACCACCGATAATGGCGCCACAAGACCACCGACAGCAGCGTCTGGCCCGCGCCGCCTGGCAAAGCTTCGACGAAAGGTTGAGAGGTCACTGGTTCTGCGGAGCAGAACGTTGTTAGATGGTCGAGAGGCGCGGGCGCTCTGATGCTCAGGCTATGTACTGTAGAAGTTGTTCCATGTACAGTATAATATGATTACCTCTGTCACACTGCTGCGCATGCGACATCGGGGCGCGGGAAACGGTCTGAGTGTGGTACTACCTTCTGGAGTGCCAAAGTCATGCGAGGGCGCGAGCGCGACTCGAGCGAGAGGTCGGACCGGCCGCCACTAAGTTGATACGGAGCTTGCTCAGCTCTTTCACCGTCGATGACCAAGTCGCTCTTCCGCTACATACACGACACAGGACCTACGACCACATACGGGACTCGGCTGGCGAAAGATCGGATGGGCGATGAATCGATGATAGGCAAACGAGGCGAAGGCGGGTTTTCAGGTCAATTACTGTTTCTTTATTGCTCCACATTCTACTATACTACAACACTGAGGGTACGGCCAACGGACATACGCAGCGACTTGGGGATGACAGAGGAGAAGAGGAGGAGTACCATTGCTTCATGTCTACATAGGGCTTAGTCCTCAGCGACACTAAATGGAACGAACGAACGAACAAATACGATGACCACTGCCGTCATAATTGAGGTCGTGCAGAACAATACGACCTCAATTATAACGACAGGGCAGTGATCATCGTTTTTGTTTGTTTGTATTCGTCTGACTCGAAGGGCCCCGGCCTGATAGCCAACCTATGGACGGCAACCAGTACGTCAATTCTTTCAGAAAGTGAGTTGGATTGCCATTGGTACCAAATCTACCAGTCTCGATCGTGTTTAGTGTCTGACCGGAAGTCGACCTGGACCTCTGTCAGTCGTTAGAGGCTGTCCTCCCTCGATTGTCAGCCGCATACCTACAGCGGTACATATCTCTTCCATATTTGCCCCCCTCCTTCCTTGGCTTGGCCGACTAACAGTCATGTCCACCGTGTCTGCACCTCGCGCAAAGGTCAACCTCGATTATCTCTCACCTCTGCAGAGAAAGATCGCACTGGCGCTTGGCTATGTTATCTTCGCTCCCATATGTTTTGTATACGTAAGTGCTCGTCTTACCTGGTCTATCATCCCCATAACAGCGGTTGCAGGCAATCCTGTATTATACTGTTACCACGATCACCGACATTCTCAGACCCACCCCAAAGCAGATGACCGTCGAAAAGGATGTCGACGACGAAGTGACCGCGACGCACAAGGCTCCGGCTTCGCCGCTGCCATCAGTGACGCTTCCCTACAAAAAATGGCGCACAGCCGGTTCGATTGCATCAGCTCCTCCATGTTTTACCGGCAAGAACAACATGGAACGTATCGAACCCAGTCAGCGTGCACCACTCACCGCTCCGCTGGCATGCTTAGCCACCCCGGCCAAGCTATTCGGCGGGGATACACCTCGGCCTAGCAACGTCAGCTCTCAGGCTAGTTCGAGCAACACGTTACTGGGATCGTCGGGAGACGCGTCAAGTAAAACTTCCTCCTCCGAGCCGGAGGCCAGCCAAATAGTCCCCAACGCGTCGGTCCTGTCGTTCTGTCGCCTGGAAAATGCAGGCGCCATCCGCCGCCGTCAAGCAGGGTCCACCGCTATGGCATTCACGTCATCATCGCGTTCCTCGAAGTCCCTTCATCCTAGTCGCAAGGTCATTTCGCGGATTCCGGACAGCATGCGGGGCCCTGAGGGACGTCCTCTGAATGCGCTGCCGGAGGTCATCTTCACGCAACGATATGCAAACCCGATCCCTATTCCGTTCAACATCAACCTGCGTCGATCGGACGGAGGGCAGAACTCGAGCGAGTCTACCGCTCATTCAGCAGATAATTCGCAAGATACCTTCAACATGGAGACGCCCCGCGTGGGTATGCAGTTGACCAAAGGCAAGTTTGGGTCATTGCGGAGGCTTGGTAACAAGCTTCGTAAAAGCGTCTCCCTGCGGCATCGAAGCGCGAGCTTGAGCATCGATGGTCAGCAGAGCCCGCGTGTTTCAACCAACCTCGGAGGTACACCGCTACGACCGGTGGCAACTCGCTCCCGTTCGAGGAGTCTGTCGTCATCTTTACCCACCGCTCTGGGTCTAGAGATAGGCAACGAAGGACTTGCTTGGGAGTACAGCCTTCCGTGACAACCTCGGGAGTGACAACCTCGGGAGAAGCATTCAGCAATGTGGCATATGGTTTATAGAATTTAGATACTACCGCCTTCCCTGGGATTGCCTGTTCTGCATCTATGTATGGTTACGAGACGCGGCGTATGCACTAGCGAGAAATTGTTGCAGTATCCGAGCATTTGCAGAACCGAGACAAGCTTTGAAACGGGTAACCTGCGTGAGTATAGTCTCCGTTCCTTACCAAAAAGAGATGTTCGTGTGAGTATGTGGTTCAACGATTCCTCAGCGGCAAGCGGCAGCGGCAGTTCGCCGTAGTAAGTCAAGGTTCAGTAGATCGAGCGTGGCAAAGTAGCAGACGCAGTGGCTGTGGGCCTGTGGCGTCGCTGGCCACCGCACATTCGCTTTCGGAGTCTGAAATACTACCCTTTAAAATCATACTCCGCTTAACGGAGGCCACGAGCTGTAGTTTACTAATACACCAACATCGCTGCGCTGTTGCGCCGCCTCTTGCAAAGTGCCACCATGTCTGACGCTGATCTTTACAGCCTCGAATTCCTCTCTCTTGTCGCTAAAATTACCCAGGAGATTGACAACCATACAGGACTCAGTGACAAAACATTAGCCGAATTCGTCATCGACCTCCATGACCAGTCGAAGACACTACCCGAGTTCAAGCAGAAACTCAAGGATGTGGGCGCGAACTTCCCCGATGCTTTCGTCGGGAACGTCGACCGCCTTATCCTCAGCATGCATCCAAAGCACAAGAAGCGAGCTGCCCCTTCCGACAAAGAGAACGCCGACGTAGAAGCCGGTGCTCTCGACGAATCGGACAAGAAGAAACGCATGTTCCCTGGTCTCGCGTTGAAGGACCAGGAGTGGGAGCCCACTGCCACGAAGGATGCCGTAATGAAGGAGGTCGACGACTTGATGTCGCAGTTCGAGGGCGCTGCCAAAAGGGCGAGAGAGAGGCCCGCGGATGGGGAACGGTCGCCAAAGAGGCGGCGTCAGTCTCGTTCGCGCTCGCCTCCCCCGCCACGGCGCCGCAGCCCTAGTCCTCCTCGCGATAGCGGCTACGGAAACCGACGGGATACCAGGCACGGTAGAGGCGGTGACAGGGGACGACAACTGGACGAACGTCCGGTGCTCTACAAGGTGTACCACGGTCGTGTCTCTGGTTTGAAGGAGTTTGGAGCGTTCGTGCAATTGGAAGGTATTGCTGGAAGAGTCGAAGGTACGTCCATGTCCTCAGACTTGAGTGGTACCTGGATAACGTATCCATCAGGTATGGTTCACGTCTCAAACATACAGCAAGGAGCACGGGCCAACTCTGCCACTGACCTGCTCAGTCGTGGGCAGAATGTGGTAGTGAAGGTAGTGAATGTCGCCGGAAGTCGTGTAGGTCTTTCTATGAAAGACGTCGACCAGGCCACAGGCCGCGACCTCACGCCGCATCTGCGCATCAAGTCGGAGGCTGAGCTTGCGGAGGAGGAGCGCACGCGCTCAGCGAACGGAGCAAACGCGGTGCCCCTCAGAGGTCGCGGTGTTACGACAGACGAACCCGTACGCTCTGCCAAGCGGTTGACATCGCCAGAGCGATGGGAGATCAAGCAGCTCATCTCTTCCGGTGCCATCGACGCTTCGGAATACCCTGATCTCGATGAAGAATACGCCAACCCGACGGCGCGCGCGGAAGTGGAGGAAGAGTTGGACGTGGAGATTCGAGAAGAGGAGCCGCCGTTCCTTGCTGGTCAGACGAAGAAGACGCTTGACCTTAGTCCTGTGAAGATCGTCAAGGCTCCTGATGGTTCACTGAACAGGGCAGCTTTGGCCGGCACATCGCTCGCCAAGGAGCGGCGCGAGTTGCGCCAGCAAGAGGCTATTGAGCAGGCCGACTCCGAGGCTCGCGATTTTAGTGCTCCATGGTTGGATCCGATGGCGAAGGAAGGCGATAGGGTGTTTGCCCAGGACCTCCGAGGTAACCTGCTGGGACAGAAGGCAGGAGAGCAGCCGAAGTGGAAGGAAGCCACGTTCAACAAGGCGACAACTTACGGCGAAATCACCAGCCTGAGCATCCAGGACCAGCGCAAGAGTCTGCCCATTTACAAGCTTCGCGAACAACTGATTCAGGCGGTTCGAAATGTACGTCCCATTGTCTGTTCGACGTCGTCTGCTCAGTGCTCACATCCTATATAGCATCAGGTGATCATTGTTGTTGGCGATACGGGTTCAGGCAAAACGACGCAGATGACGCAGTACCTCGCCGAAGCGGGTTTCGCGGACAAGGGAAAGATTGGCTGTACACAGCCGAGGCGTGTGGCTGCTATGTCCGTCGCGAAGCGGGTTGCCGAGGAGGTTGGCTGTCGACTCGGTCAGGAAGTCGGGTACACGATCCGCTTCGAGGACTGCACGGGCCCCGAGACGAGGATCAAGTACATGACGGACGGTATGCTCCAGCGAGAGTGTCTCGTCGACCCCGACGTCAGCGCGTACTCGCTAATCATGCTCGACGAAGCGCACGAGCGTACCATCCACACTGATGTGCTGTTCGGTCTGTTGAAGAGTAAGTAGGGAACGCCTCTGCACATGACAGTATACTGATATGTTCTGCAGAGGCCATGAAGCGTCGCCCAGACCTCAAAGTCATTGTCACGTCGGCCACCCTCGATGCTGAGAAATTCTCAAGATACTTCTTCGGCTGCCCTATCTTCACGATTCCGGGTCGCACATACCCTGTGGAGATCCTGTACACGAAGGAGCCCGAGACGGACTACCTCGACGCCTCGCTGATCACGGTGATGCAGATTCACCTGTCGGAGCCTCCTGGCGATGTCTTGCTGTTCTTGACCGGCCAGGAGGAGATCGACACGGCATGCGAGATCTTGTACGAGCGCATGAAGGCCTTGGGCCCCAAGGTTCCCGAGCTTCTCGTCCTTCCCATTTACTCCGCGCTCCCCTCGGAAGTCCAGTCACGAGTCTTCGAGCCGACGCCGCCTGGTGCTCGGAAGGTGGTCGTCGCCACGAACGTTGCCGAAACTAGTCTGACGATCGCGGGCATCTACTATGTCATTGATCCAGGCTTCTCGAAGCAGAACGCCTATGACCCCAAGCTGGGTATGGACTCACTTGTCGTCATGCCCATCTCACAAGCCCAAGCACGACAACGCGCTGGCCGTGCGGGTCGTACGGGGCCAGGGAAGTGCTATAGGCTCTACACTGAAGCCGCGTTCCGGAACGAGATGTTGCCCAACTCCATCCCAGATATTCAGCGGACGAATCTGGCGCACGTCATTCTCATGTTGAAGGCGATGGGTATCAACGATCTTCTCAGCTTCGACTTCATGGACCCGCCGCCCGCTCAGACGATGCTGACTGCGCTCGAATCGCTCTATGCGTTGTCAGCATTGGACGACGAAGGCCTCCTGACGAAGCTGGGCCGCAAGATGGCTGACTTCCCCATGGAGCCCCCGCTCGCGAAGATGCTAATCGCTTCGGTGGAACTGGGGTGTTCCGAGGAGATCCTCTCTATTGTAGCGATGTTATCTGTCCAGAGCGTCTTCTATCGTCCGAAGGAGAAGCAGGGGCAGGCGGACTCGAAGAAGGCCAAGTTCCATCAACCAGAAGGCGACCATCTGACGCTGCTGACCGTCTACAACGGCTGGAAAGCGAGCAACTTCTCGAACCCGTGGTGTTACGAGAACTTCATACAGGCGCGGAGCATGCGGAGGGCACAGGATGTACGGAAGCAGCTGTTGGGCATCATGGATCGGTACGTTGCAATCGGACCCTTGTATGTTTTCCTCGCGCGAAATACTCAATTGGGTGCTCTGCAGCTACAAACACGACATCATTTCGGCCGGTCGAGACTACAATCGCGTCCGTAGAGCTATCTGCTCCGGATACTTCCGCCACGCGGCGAAGAAAGACCCACAGGAGGGCTACAAGACACTGGTAGAGGGCACGCCGGTGTACATTCACCCGTCGTCTGCGCTCTTCAACCGCAATCCCGAGTGGTGCATCTACCACGAACTGATCCTTACGACGAGGGAGTACTGCCACAACGTCACGGCCATCGAGCCCAAGTGGCTGGTCGAGGTGGCGCCTCAATTCTTCAAAGTCGCTGATGCGAACAAGATCAGCAAACGGAAGAAGCAGGAGAAGATCGAGCCGTTGTTCAACAAGGTATGTTAGACATGTGTCTGTAAGGTAGCGGCACTTGCTCACTACGGTCTCAGTACGAAAAACCAGACGAATGGAGACTGTCAAAGATGAAGAGAAGCGCACGCTCGGTATGTCGCTACATTTTCGTTTCCTTGTTGGAGATGTCCATTTTCTGATTCACTTTGCAGAGTCAGACTTTCGGCTGAAACATGCCGCATGCTCATATCATTCTCCGTTCTTGTACAGTACTATCTTGCGAGTCCCCTGTATCCATACTGCTCATCTGTGACCGCTATAACGTATGTACGCGGATGTGATGCCTGTCGTGTACCGGAATATGAGCGGCAGGCATTGATTGTTGTTGTGCACCCCACCCGTGCCCGGGAATTGGGCCGAATAGGCCAGTTGCATTCACTTGTCAAGGCGGAGTATTCCGACGGCGTCGTGGCGTTGTGTGCCAAAGGGTCTAGGTCGATCGTGACAAAGTCCTGTCGGTCGAAATCTCGAGCATCAGGATCTGGCTACGAGTGCGGTAGGGTCCGTGACATACCGCAAGGAAGCCCCCCAAGGCTGACCTCTATGTTCGGCTTCATCCGACAAACCGCAGAGCATCAGCATTGACATAGTACTTTGCCACTTCCCCCGCTTTTGTCGGTGGTGCGGTTGGATCGGGGACGAGCATGAAGGTTTGGGAGAACACTCGGGGCTGGCCGTCGACCGACTTGCTCGATGTTGCGGGCGGATTCCCGGCGGGCCCGCGGCCATGTGTTACAGTGCCTGAGACAGTGATGAGGAGATTGGGAGGTTGACTGCCTATAGAGGGGCGTCAGGGCCGAGTACTCGAGAGAACAGAAACCGAACGAGCTCACCTGGAATTGGGTGGCAATCGAAACTCTGTATTTCGTGTTTGGTCGTGGGCATTGCGCTGATGAGCTTCCGCACGCCTTCCGAGCCCTGAAACGGTCTTCCATTCCAAGTCAACGCAGACGACGGACGGTAGAAGTTGGGCAGGTCGTCCACGCGAGTTGCTGAGTCGTATGTTGAGTAATAGAGGCGTGTAAACTGATCGGCAGCTCGTGTAGCGATCTCGATGCTGCGAGACGAAGTTCAGCGCAAGACTGGAAGAGAGACAGCTCTGACTTACTCGTTCTTCGTGAGAGTCGTCATGGCCGTCGCAGTGACTGGTCGCCTGGGCGGTGGCTGGTGGTGGTCCTGGTGAGAGCTGCGCCGCGCACAGTGAAGCGCGGTGTCACGATACACGTGAGGCACTGTAACGTCACAGTGCTATCTCGATCTGGGGCCGGTCAATGACCGGTCGATCAGTCGGTTTTCATCGTGCGCAGCTGCATCTCCAATTCATCTCGGCCATCTAACGCGAAGCTGCATTGATTCCACGCCGGCAAAGGGATCTACAGTACACTAAAAGTCAATTATACTAGTACATACATATTCAAGTAGGTACACGGTCACGTCGACCGCCACAGCTGGCAGCCCGAGTCTAGCACTACGTCCCCTGCATACCGCCGCTCACGCCCCACTAATGGCGCGTCCAATGTGTTCCGTCCCCATGCTAGCGTACCACGTCTCAGGTCCCTGCAATTCAGTCTCATTGTCAGCGGTCTGATTCTGCATCCGGCCAGTCACGGGTAGCCGCCTACCTGTCTGTTCTTGAGCCTAAGCTTCCTGATTCTCCGGGCAACCCACTCCGCTGACGTGGTGTCCGTCTCGAACTCGCCCTCGGGTGCCTTCGCGATCGCGCGTGCGATCATATCGCTGCTCTTCCCCAGATGCCGCAGGACAACCGAGTTGCGCGGCCGCGTGAAGAAAGCGATAGAGTACCGCTCGAACCGCGACTGTGTCCCTGGGGGTGGCCTACAGATGGCGAGGTGAGCGCTTTCATTCGAGCGCTGGCTCTGTCGCCGAGGCAGCTTACATTACGCGGTGGAGGGCGGATCGCAAGATCCCCCCACTGAAGATTGACAGAGCATCTCCGATGTTGCATACTGCATAACCAGGCAGAGGCTGTGACCGATACTTCTTTCAATGATTCGCGCATTGATCGAACAGCATGAACACCCCACCTTGATGTACAGCCACCTCTGCGTCCCTGGCGGCATGACCTGCAACCCGCCTAATCGATTGTGCAGAAATGTCTGAGAGCGACGTGAGCTAACCCTCCTCTTACTACAGCACTAGAGACCCACCAAAGTGCCAAAATCTGTGTGGGCGCCGACGCCCGCTGTTGACTGGTTCTGCGGTGTCTTGATGCAGCGAGCCTCACTTCCACACGGACTCTCCAAGGAGTGCAGCCTGAGAAGCTCGCCCCTCGGCAAGCCCAGCTGCCGCTCAAAGATGGTGAGGATCGTCGTGTTCACATCCATCGACTTGTGCACGAAGGGGATGATGGTGTTACTCATTCGCGCATTCACAGTGTACGGATAGGTTCTGTGTGTCGGCTTTGGCCATGACAGGGCGTCGTCCTGGGCAATATTCAGGAACTCGACGTTGTCCCGAGTGCCGTTCGCGTCCGTCTGGATCGTCCCCTTCGCCTTGTATCTAGAGTGCGGCAGTGAGCAACAAGGGCGGTCCCGAAGAGAAAGGTGGTTCTTACCCAAACGAATTGCCATTGTCACCCTGTTCGAAGCGCATCTTCTCCTGCAGCGGGAGATCAAGAGTCTCTGAACCCATGTCGAACATGTCGTTGACCTCACGGTCAACGCCATGATTCACCAGGCTTCATCATGACGGATTACGTCGGACACATAGCAATGACTGTGGCGTATGCGGTACTCACTACCAGAAGCCTTGTTCGGTGGCTGCGCCCCAGAGCTTGATGATCTCTTTCCGGTCCCATTGCTTGAGCAACCTGTAGTCAATTACAGGTAGAGGGTGGATGGGGGCATCGTCGGGGAAAGGCGCGGTAGCAGTGAGGCCGGGCATTTCGTCTCGGATATGGACTTTGGGCTGCAGCAAAGGGGGACACTTCCTAGGCTATTTATCATTCCCCGGGATAGAGGCCGGAAACCACAGGCTCTAGTCGCCTGCCGGTGAATTTCGGGGGCCAAGCGGAGTAAATCTAGTACGCTATCCCTGATGCAGGCAAGCGGCAGAGGCCTTTCCAATTCTATCGGCCGCGCGGGTAGGTGATAGTCGCCCTGCAGCCATTCGGTCACATTCACAATGCATAACCTCGTCTCTTACCTTCTCAGCCAGCTGCCGAACCGCAATGCAGCACGCATCCTCTTTGATCACCCTCAAGTAACCGGGCCCACGTGTCGGATGACGCCGCAATCGTCATGCCAGCCGTGAAGCTACTTTGTCAGTACCCGTCTGCACAGGGCCCGTTCAAGTGCAGTAATTGGCCTCCGTCGTCCGATGTTCCCATGTGGCCGCACGGTCTTGTCTTCTCCGCCACGCGAGACAGCTCAAATAGGGCGCAAGGACATTCCTGGATGACAACTCTATGGATGAGGGGATCAGCCTTCGCAGACGTTGAGGTAAATTCATGAACCTACTTGACAACATTGCGAGCATCAAAAAGGGCAGGTGATCCATTCAATAGCCCGGCGGAGTATGCATGATGCTCCAATAGTGTATGTGGGAAGGCTCCGGAGAGTTGGACGACGCCACTGTCGGAGCCGACGCGCAGCCAATTATGGTGAGGCCTAGGTACGCGTATACTTGAAGGAGTACTGAAACGCGGCGTACGATCGCATCGCCCGCGGCGCTCTTGCTGAGATAGCATCTGAACATCGCGCGCTAGGCGTACATGTGTGGATGTGAGAACGCCAGAAGTGGCTAGAGCAGTGGCAATGATGGTGGAAGATGTCTGGTTCCGAACTTACTCATCAGTCCAAGCCAATTCGCCACCCACGAGCACTCCGTGAGCTCGAGAGAATGCGCCCACAATAGCCGTCACAAGGTTCCTATGTCAGTGCCACAGACAGGTATGTTCGGCAAGAACATCGAGCCGGATGCTGCAATCATCGCCGTTCGTTGGCCCCGATGATGACGGGAGAAGGAGTACGCCGCCATCCAGGGCCTCCAAGGAGGCCTCACTCGAGACCCGTTGGTACTGCTGCGATCATGGACAGGTTTCTATTTGTATCATGAGTTTGACTTGCACGCGAACGCATTTGTCAGAAAGCGATGCAAGATCACATCCGTCGCCGTTAAGGCGGAGAATTCGGCAGGACGCTAGACGGCGCTGGCCGTTTGGTGTGCGCCCAGAAGACAACAACTGACTTATGTCTGACCAATCTAGGGCATATGGCCTGTCCATACACGACATACGTCATGTTCAGTCTGCCAGAACGTCCAGGAACAGCGCGGTCATTAAAACCAATCGATGAATGAATGGTGTACTGCTCACCTGTATTCACTCCGGCTACGAGACCCGCAGCGTGGGGAGAATCCTCCACGGCAAAGCAAGGATGCGGTGAGTTGCCGCTGACAGGCGTAGCGCTGCCGCAGCACACAACTGCATGTATTGGCTGGACATACATCCGAGGGGCGATTGACAAACTGGAGAGACCCAGACGATGCGAGCGCCGGCTGGAACATGGCAGGCACGACAGAGATCATAGTGTTGCCATTCTAGGACGCTCAGCAGACACTGCGTAGAACTTCCAGACAACGTCGTGGTTGACTTGACTTAGTGCGAGGCTCGGACTCGGAGTTGGCAGGACGGGCGTAAGAGACGTGTAAGTACTTGGTAAGTACTCACTCAGTGCTGCTGCCAGAGTGCCGACGCGCTCCCGACCCCGGATACGACACCGCGCCTTGCACGTGACACGAGCAAGCGCCATGTCCCCGCGTCGGTGTGCAGCTGGCTGCTGGAGGACGCAACCTCCCTCAGCTCCGCGTGTTGGTCGCACACACCCATTGCACACGACTTCGCCTGCGCAATCACCTTCGAGTCCTCGTGTACTCAAAGTACCACTGCAGAGCTGGTTCGTCGTACAAGTGTTCTCAGAGCTCCAGCACGGTGCCTGAGTCGAATACCATAGCTTACCAGTGCTGACTGGCCTGAGACGTCCGACTAGCAGGGCCCTTACACGCAACGCGGGCTCTCTTTTAACCTCACGGCGGCCTCCAAACTCATTCACGCCAACGACTCTACCACTGATCACTCGCACCATGTGGGAACGGACGCTGCAGGATCTCATCCGCGGCCTGCGCGCGAACAAGAAGGATGAGAGCAAGTTCATTGCTCAGGCGATCGCGGAGATTAGGCAGGAGATCAGGAGCAAGGACATGGAGCTCAAGGCGGGTGCGGTGCTCAAGCTCACATATGTCTGTACTTCGCGCGCTTCATCCTGTCTTATTGGTCGGCGCACTGATCGGGTCGGTTGCAGCTAGACATGCTAGGCTATGACATGAGTTGGGCCTCGTTCCATGTCGTCGAGGTCATGTCCTCTCCGCGCATTCACCTCAAGAGCGTCGGGTACCTCGCGGCTGCCGAGTCCTTCACACCGGAGACAGATGTCTTGATGCTCACGACAAATCAGCTGAAGAAAGTAAGTGTATGCCCAACCTGGAGGCCGCGCACGCGCTTATGGCTAACTGCAGGATCTCAGCTCCAAGCCAGAAGACGTCGCAGTGACTCTGAATGGCCTATCCCACATCATAACTCCGGACCTTGCTCGGGACCTCGCGCACGACTTGATTGCAATGCTGAACCACTCCCGCGCGCACATCCGGAAGCGTGCCGTCATTGCGGTGTACAAAGTCTTCGTCAAATATCCGGAGATCGTTCCATATGGGATTACAAGGCTGCGCGAAAGGCTTGAGGACACGGACCCAGGTAAGAGTGGTCGTCAACCCCAGAATAAACCATTGGAATTGAAGTGGTTCTGTGTGGCCGCCAAGGTGTTATTGCTGTGACAGTGAATGTTCTGTGCGAACTCGTCCACCAGAATCCCAAGGATTACCTTGCGCTTGCGCCGCAGCTCTTCCATCTCATGACAACGTCATCCAACAATTGGATGCTCATCAAGATCATCAAGTTGGTACGCATCTTTTGCTGTCGTCTTCTGTCTCGGCACATTGACATTTGCGCATAGTTTGGAGCGCTGTCGCCATACGAACCGCGTCTGGTGAAGAAACTGCAACCTCCGATCACAGACCTCATATCGACAACTCCAGCAATCTCATTGCTGTATGAGTGCGTCCACACATGCATTACCGGAGGCATGCTACAGGGTGCCTCTGGTAATGCATTGGCGAGGATGTGCGTGACAAAGCTCGCTGCGTTCTTGCAGGATCCAGACCAGAACTGTGAGAGATGCCCCCGTAGCCTTCTTCATGCGCTGATCAAATCATGTCGACGCAGTGAAGTACATTGCGCTACTGGCAATGACCAAGATCGTGCCGAGTCACCCAGAGCTAGTAGCTGAATACCAAGACATGATCATCTCCAGCGTCGATGACCCAGACATAAGTATCCGCATGAGAACCCTAGATCTCCTCACCGCTATGGTATGTATGCCGTTATCATTGCCTCCTTAGTGTTACTGACCTCGCTACCGTCAGGTCAGCCGCACGAATCTTCAGACAATCGTGCAGCAACTTCTCTCCCACTTGGTCCGGCCCGATACTTCTGCCTCCGGGCTTCCCTCGGCGACGCAGTCCCTCTCGCAGTACCAGTATCGCACACCGCTCGTGAGCGCCACGCCGAAGTCCACCAACGCGCCGTCGCAATCGCCGGCGTACCGTCTCACGCTGTCACATCGGATCCTTGCGCTCGGAGCACAGGACACGTACGAGAACGTCGTGGACTTCGAGTGGTATCTCTCCGTACTCGTCGATCTGGCGTACGTCGCGGGCGTCAACGTCGGCCAGCAGATCCGCGACCAGCTCGTCGATATCGTGGGGCGGGTGAGGGCCGCGCGGCGGTTTGCGGTCCAGCTGATGCTCAAGGTGCTAACGGACGAGTCGTTCCTCGCGAACGCCCCCGAGGAGGGCAGCTGCTCCGAGATTCTCTGGGCGGCCGCATGGATTTGTGGCGAGCACTGCGGGTAGGTTGCCGGCATGTCGTTTGTGGTTCGGCAAAATCCTAACTGCATCTACCTCCAGGGAGCTCGCGGAGCCACAGAAGCTACTTCCACACCTCCTACAGCCCGGGCTTGTGGCGCTGGACCCTGAGATCGTCGCAGTTTACCTGCAGGCTGCGACGAAGGTCTTTGGGTACTGGGCTGCGGAGCAGGCCAACACATTCGAGACCGACGATCTACCAAAGGTCAGGGACGCAGTGGACGTGCTACTCGAGCGCGCAGGCGAGTTCGCGACGAGCCCGGACATCGAAGTGCAGGAGCGGGTATGTGGTCTCGTTCTCCATGGACTGACAGCTGACTGAAATGATATTGAAATTCGTTGCGCTCCGGACGCGCTAGGCCGCCGAGATGGTCAACCTGTTCACATTCGTCCGTGCCGATCTTAGCGCATACAGGCCGAAGAGCGACGTTGGCATGGACATGGCCATAAGCATAAGTGCGGGCTTTGGGGGCGGCTTCGGCGACACAGGGTTCGGGGATAACAATTCGCTGGATCCCGGCTTTCCAAAGAGCCTCTATCTTATTCGTCCGCTGTTCTCTGCGTACGAGCTCAATGCCGTCGCGGCGGAGGCGCAGTCGCTCGTGGAAATCCCAGAGGATCTCAACCTGGATGCCTGGATCGTACCTCCGCCCAGGGAATTCACCGAGCCTGACGAGTCCGACGATATGGTGGAACCCAAAAAGAAGAAGAAAAGCAAAAAGGGCAAGGAGAAGGAGCTAGGCACCGGCAAGAGCAAGGGGAAGAGCAAAAGCAACGGCCAGCCTGATGCGGGTGACACTGCAGGCACAGCGGCAGCCTCTCGGACTACGGAGACAGCAGAAGAGCGGGCAGAGCGCGAGCGTGTACGTAACACGCGATATGCCCCTTCATTCAAGTCTGTTTGACTGATAGTCCATTCGTACAGCGCAAGGCTGAACGACGCGAGCGCCTGCGCGACGACCCATACTACCTCATAGATGACCGGCCATCCGTGTCAGCCATCAGCGCAAATGACGTGGACTCAATACCGGTGGTCAGGTTGGACGACCTGCCACCGCTCTCACAAGGTGAGCCACCATCTCGTCACGTCGACCGCGTCAGCTAGCTGAACGGCCCTGCCCGGCGAAACAGCGGAAAACGCACGTCTCCCGAGCCTGCGGAACCCGAGTCTATCATCGGCCCCACAGACGTTCGTGATTGACAAGACGGGCGAGCTGCCCCAGGGCAGCCTATCGCGGCCAGTGTCGCGTCCTGTCTCAAGACAAAACAATAAGGACGATGCTAACTCTTTGCGGGACGGTGCATCGCCGGCCGTGGCGCCACCATCATTTCCTCCGTACGAAGTCGAGGACGAGATAGCACGTACTGCCACGCCGCCAATTAAGGTCACACGAGCGAAGAAGAAGGGGACGTCGAGTGGGAAGAAGAAACGGACAAAGACTGGCGATACGAGCCCGTTGGCGGAATGAGCATATGACGTGTCATGTATTATCTGTACGATTGCCTATGGTATATTGCTGGAGTGGTAGCTACGATGGAGGGATTGCAAGAAAGCAACTGTGATGATACATGAGACACAGTACGAGAACTGCTGGCTAGGGCTAGATATAACGTGCCGCTGTTCGAGACGTGGTAGGATGAGTGTCCGGGAAGGTTGCAGGGATATCGTGCTGAGAGGAAAGAAACATAGCCAGTGGATAGTACACGGGTACAGGAATGTTACGTTGTTCATCTGTCGTCTTCCACATGTTCGACCGAATCGACAACCTCGTTAATCAATTCCATGGTCACCCCAGGAATGATGCGCTCGGCCTCGGTGAATGCGCGCTGGAGGGCGCTCAGGGCCACTCTTGCTTCCTGGGTAGACACACGCGGGAACAGCTATATGACATTCATAATCTTCAGACAAGTCTGCATCACATCCCGAATGCATGACGTACCGAAGCGATCGCAGGCAATACCACCGAGTCCAGCATAGTGGTGTCGGGCAACTCGTCATCAACAACGGGCGGTCGTCCATTCGTTGCGCCAGCCACATATCCGTTTGGCTCATCTTCATAATCGTCATCATATTCGTCCGAGGGCTCCCTCCTGGGAGCCACTGCTGGCGCAACGGAGCCATTGCGTATCGTCGCCTGTTGATCAAACTTGCGCGGCGTCGAGGGGTTCGACGCGGGTAGGGGTGGGAGGTCCGTCTTGCTGCTGACGGTGGTCGCGTCAATCAAGCCGGACGGGCCCCTGCGGGAGAACGTCGAGCTCCCTGAGACTGAGCCCCCCGAGTCATCTGAGCGCGTCGTCCCGTTATTCTCCCATGTAAGCGGGGGACCCGACACCTTGATCGAGCTCGTCGGCGCGCGCCCAACCGTGCCCGCGTGTCGCACGGTTCCGAAGTCCCACAGATCCTCTGGGTCGCTGTTAGCGCTGTGTGGAATGGAGTCAGCCGCCGTTCTAAAACATATCAAGCCAAAGAGAGGGGAAGGGGGCTCACATGTCCTCGACGTGCTGCCGCTCTTCCTCCTCCACACGCTCGCCACCCTCGGCCTTCCATCGCTCGTGTCGCTCGATGAGTTCGGTGAGATAGCTCGTCTTCTTCGCCATGCGGACGAACTTGTGCTTGAGCAGGTCCCGCGCGGACGGGCGCTGGCAAGCGGCCTTCTCGTCAGGGGCAGATTTCTCGCGAAGGAAGGTGCACCTACGTCTCGGGGATCACGCTGAAGGCAATATGACACGAACTCCCTGAATGTCTTGGAGAAGGGTCCCTCCAACGTCGGGGGCGGGTTCTTCGGGATTAAGAATAGCACCTGCGGGAACGGCGTCAGGTCTTCGGGTCTTCCTCTGGCGTACCTGCATGCTACGTGCCTTCATTGGGTGCAACTCCGCGTATGGCGGCTCACCCTTTGCGAGCTCGATGGCGGTGATACCCAAGGACCAAATGTCGGCCTTGTGATCATAGCCACTCTGCTTGATAACCTCGGGCGACATCCAGTATGGTGTGCCGACGAATGTGTTCTTCTTAGCTGAAAGCGTACCCGACAATTGGCCAGAAACACCGAAATCGGCTAGCTTGACGTCTCCACCAGCGGAGAGAAGGATGTTTGCAGCTGCCATACAGACGAGGTGAGACCCTGAGCGAACCAAATCTGAAGTGAGACATACCTTTGATATCGCGATGAAGCTTCCCCTCGGTATGTAAGTACTCGAGACCCTTCAAGAGCTCCCTGACAATGATGGCGATGTACTCTTCTCGGAATACGCCAGGCTTCATCTGAGGGAGGAACATCAGGGCCAATCCGATCGCAGCGCAGAGCGTCAACAGCTCACAAGGTCAGAACACGAGCCGCCGGAACAGTATCTGGGATATGTCAGATCGGGGTGGTTCATGATCGTCGAAAGAATCGCTCACTCCATGACGATCCATAGGTGCGAGCCCTTGAGGTAGGATCCGTGGTATTTGGTGACATGCGGAGAGTCGAGTTGGGAGAGGATCTGGATCTCCTGTTGAATGTCCTCAATCTCGTCTTCGGCACTCTCGAGGTCGATGATCTTGATGGCCACGGTCTTTTGAGTGCGTTTATCATATCTGGACGTTGGGTGGTTGAGTCGGAATCAGTTGTCTGGCAGCACGGGTAGGTGCACTGGTACGCACCCCTTGTACACCTCTCCGAACGATCCCTTCCCTACACCGATGGCCAGACATGTCAACAAGTCTGTTTTGGGCGGAGATGTTGCATGAGCTGTGACGCACCGATCCTGTCCTGCTTCACATAAAAATCCTCGGGATCTTGGTGGTGTGTGTCCTGCACGCGAGTTGAACCAACGGCGAGAGAGACGCGGATCGCGCTATATGAGCCAGGATAGCACTCACCATATCCTATCCTATCCAGCAAGCTAAATGCACTCGTCCAAGTCGTATCGGGATGCTAAGATGAATCGGCGATAGAGTAGTGCGTTCGGTGCGCGTGCGACTGGAGTCGCAGTGAGAACCAGTGATCAGAGCGGGGATCAGCAAGCAATAGCGTCCGTCGGTAAACAGGGATCGAGCAAGCGCGGTCGTTGAGGAGCAGAAACGACGCAGAGACCGTGATGGGAGGTGGGGGAAGGCGGTGGAGGAGGTGGTGGTGGTGGTCGCGGTCAGCCGCTGGTGGCCATATCGTTGCCATATCGCTGCGGCTGGCAGGCACGCGCCCGGCCACCTGCACACTCCGCCGTGCCTCCGTCTCCTCACTACGCGTTTCGGACGGCGACATCCTCCTGCTAGCTCTCGTCCACGTCAGCTCCAGTCAATGTCCAACGCATTCGCCGTCGCAGCCCAACGCGGCTAGCTCAGCGCGGGCTGTTTGAGGCCTCCGCGGTCGGCCCGAGCAGCGCGCGGGTCCTCGTCCTCTCTGCGGCCCACACAACTCTTTTGGGCGTGTCGACCCCGCCTGCACGCGTCTTTACGCGATTTGGCACCTCCAAATAGTAGAAAAACGCGTAGTGAGTGCGTGTGTTCCGTTCACGCCCATGTATCCTCCGGAGACCGCATGCAGCCCTCGCAGTGCCGTGTCGACGCCACCGACGCCGCTCTTGCGATCTACAGACACGACGGATCACCGCATGGGTTTTTGGCATTTCTCGGAAACTGTACAGAGGGTGCCGCATCGGGTCGCCGTACCTCGGAACGGCTCAATGGCGATGTCACAGGTGCGTGCCAACAGCCAGCAATCCCCGGGAGACCCGTGCGCAGGGACAACCTAGTACTGCCCGGTCTCCCGCACTAGCAGGCCGATTGAAGCCTAGCAGTGGGCTAAATTACATAGGCTTCTCCGCGTTCACCAGAAGTCGGATAAACCACGAGATATAGTCAGCACGAACGTGGTCTTCGTACACCCAGTATTGACCGCATAGGGTCCGGCTCAGTCCGCTGGGTGGAATGCCGACACTCGCTTCTGCCCCATCCTCTCCAGCTTCGACTGCATCGACTGCTGGTCGTGTCAATGCGGATGCAGATGTCTCTTCTGTGTGCGATGCCCACAACTACCACGTCCATTCGATCTACCGATGCGTCTTCAATTGGGGACTCGGAGTACATTCGACTCGAGTTCGAAGTCCCGTCGCAGTCTCCCGACACCCATACACAGAAGACTAGTCGGCACAAGACCCGTTTATCCAGGTTCATCGATGCATCCTCGAAATATGACATGTACAAGCTTAGGGATCTACCTAGGCCGTTGCAGGCCGTTGCGCGTCGTGTTGTATATACCGCACCTGTTTGATCTTTGTCTACTGTCATAAAAATACTTCCCCCTCTCAGCTGGACACTAGCTGCTGTGTCGTTGCTGCAATGGTCGCACTTTGATCTTACACTGAATATTGACATATCGGTTTGTTCCCCCTTGTTGTGGGCCCGTCCTCCTCCCTCCCGCGAATCTTGAGCGCTTCCGCCTTCCGCATCCTGACCTTCAGCCACGGTGAAAAACGCACCTGCCCAAACGGTACCCAGACCTGCCCGGAGCAGGTCGTGACAGCTGTCTGACATCAGCTGTCCCCGAGTACGGTTTGAGCAGGTCTCAGTCGAGTACGACCAGGTTTTTGAAACACATCACAATATCACAACATGCTCTAACCTGCTCCAATCTGCCCGGACAAGGCCTCGTTAGTGCGCGGGCAGACTGGGGCAGCTGGGGGCAGGTTTTAAACTGCTTGAATCTGCTCAAAATTGCTCTCATTTTTGTGACAATAATATACACGGCTTTAGTACTATTCGATCCATTCGGTACCCGGCCTCTGTCCCTCCGACACCTTCCCATCGCTATCCACTCCGTCTGCTTATCGTAAATGTCGACTCCCCGTCAGCGATGTTGAGTTTGGAGGTTGATGTGTTCGAGGGCGAAGGGCGCGAGGAGGTCGAGCCAGCGGTTGAAAGACGCGACGCAGCTGTCCGAGTAGCTGTACTAGATGGGAGAGATGGGAGCTGGACGTGTACAGTGTGACTCACCTGCAATGTGTGTCAGAACACTCTTCAGGCAGTCAGTACGGATACCGCAGGACGTGCGCGCGGATGGGACGCACACTTTGTGACGTGTTGAGCGTCTGCACTATTGGAGTGCTCGGCGGACGGAGGAACAGCGCACACCTTGTTGAGGAAGAGTATCAGTGTTGTCTTGGCGAGGAGCGGGTTCTAGCAGATCTCCTTCCAGAGCATGATCAAGTCCTCCTGCACGCGCACGTTAGCCATCGGGCACCGCATCCTCGCTCATCACACACACCAGGCGGCTGACCTTGGAGTCCTCCTCGAGCATGAAGTTGCAGGCGAGGGGCACGAGGAAGATGATGGCCTGGATGATGTCAAAGAACGGTATTCACATCGGGCTGTTGTTCCTGCTGCCGCCGACGTCGTAGATGTACCACTCGGAGCCGAGGAGCGTGCCGCTGTCCATCGTGAAGCGGTGCTCCTCGACGTCGAGCATGCGCAGCTGCGCACGCACGATGTCCTCTGTAGGATGCGAATGAACTCAGGTCACGAGGAGAGGGAGGGGGACGCGCCATCGGCGGGCTCGTAGTTCATGTTCGCGATGCGCGCGGCGTTGTTGAGGAAGCTGCGTGCGCAAGTGGGGTTCGTAGAGGGAACGACGGGCGACGCACATTCGGGCATGTCCTGCAAGCGCACGCCGCGACGTCCCGCCGCTTGAGGATGGCCCTCACGACAGGGTCCTCCCAGAGGGTGATGATGTCGTCCCTGCACGCGGCGAGGACGGCGGTGGCCCACCACAAGGGCGCTGTACGTTGTCCGAGTCGTGGGCTCATGGATGTTGGGGAAGAGTCATGGGAGGGGGAGCACTCACACCTGTCGAAGACGGGTGTGTGGGCAGGATTGGTGACGTCAGCGCCGACTCTGCCGATGACATCATACACGCAGATCTGCATCCGTATGAGACTATTAGTAGTACTGTACTCGAGTTGGGTGACTTAGCAGCAGGAGATGCCTGGGCAAGGCAGTGACCTCTATACGTACGTGGCTAGACACGCATCGAGGACGGAAGTGATGGTGGATGGAAAGCTCAAGCATGCAACGGCGGCAGCGACACGACTGCCCAAAACGTTGCGGCGCGTCTCCCAAAACGGGCCGGGACCGGTGGCGGGCAGGCAGGCTGCTGTAAGCCAATGTGAACAGGCCCGCGTCGAGCTAACTTGTGCATTTAAGACTCGATGCATTACCTGATTGCGGAGAGCGGCCCTTGTGCGATAGCACATGAACGAGCTAATTGATCGAGCCGAGTTTGCTTAAGAGCAGCAAGAGTTGTGCAAGAGCGAGCAAACGTCAAGGTTTAGACGCCCATCTTACCAGGCGGGCAGGTCTCAGTCCGGTTTGGGCAGGTGGAATCTGTCAACGTCCTGTCACGACCTGCTCCGGGCAGGTCTGGGTACCGTTTGGGCAGGTGCGGTTTTCACCGTGCTTCAGCCACCATTGGCATTTGCGTGACATACGCACCTGGATCCCCCGCTCCTCTTCCTCCTTTAGTCTAGGCTTGGCAAACGTCGGACGGATTCAGCCAGCAGGAGGAGCTATACATCGCTGCTTCCCGTAAGCTTGCCACAAGGAGAAGCCCAGATGCAGCCCTCTAGCCACGACAATTCCGGCTTTCTCTCTGTGGTCGCCTTGCTGGGGTTCATCCTGTAATTATCCCCTCTGGGTCATACATAACGATGCTGATACATCTCCTTGCGCAGTTTGGCGGCCCTGGCATGGTGTATGGTGTCCTCGTGTCTCGGGCAATCTTGCTTCGATGCCGTCCGCGAACTCTGGAGGATGATGGTTCTGAGCGCACAGTCGGACCGCCATCCCAGCCGGGCAGGTTACAGAAGACATCTGGACGACCAGTCTGACTTCTTCGAGATGGAGTACAGAGGCGCAGGGAGGGCGGGATGAAAGCGGGAGTGGAAAAGTCAACATGACAGGGAACGAACCACTGTACGTACATGAGCATTACGTCCGTCTTGTGCCTATAGAATACCGTATCGGCTGTACATTGCACCCGCGAGGGGTATTTATTGTTATACATCATCTCTCAGACGCTTCGAAGAGTAGGAATAATTCTGTGGACGTTGGGGTCAGTAAGTCTCAGTTGAACCATTGGTCCGAGTCCGAGCGATGTTACAGCGTCATACACCGCGTAGCTATATCATAGCACCCCTTTTTTGCATTAGGTTCTGCTTACTGTGCATACACCATCATACAACGCTGCCGATGGAGAAAATGTCCGGCGATGTTGGAGTGCAAGTGAGTAGGCCGTGAGCATGCGCGCCAAAGTGTCCTTCGGCCGCCTGCATCTTATTCTCCTTCTTGCACATCGACTTGGGCTTGCCAGCTGTTTGACTTCATCTTTATCGGCCATTATCCACTGTCTGAGCTCTCTGCAGCGCATCTTCGCGCTAAGTCATACTGCCGCGCTAAGGAGACTCCTTTGTGTTTGTCGACTCGTTCCGACGGATGTCCACACGAACCACCTGAGGCTGCCGAGAAGCCACGCTGACACCAAATCGCGCTCCGTACTGAGCGATGGCGACAACGCTTCGTCATAACAGTTTCCTGAACTCTCGTGTATAAATCCCGGGACGGATCCGTCACGGGTTGCCGATGATTACATCGCTCAGGTCTACTATCGCGAGTGGACGAACGACTCTTCGTACACAACAGGTCCTTCGCCATTTGTCGACCACACCAATAGCGCGGACCATGTCTTTCCCGAAATCTGTCCAGGCGATTGCGATCAACAAAAACGGAGAGGTGGACGTGATCAACAAGGAGGCCGTACCCTTCCCCGAGCACGCTCCAGGAAACGTTATCGTCAAGGTGCGTAGATACTTTGACTTCTCAATGGCCCTTGTCTTAGGCCTACCCCGCCCCTGGCGTAAGGTCAACTATGGTGGTGTCAACTTCATCGACACCTACTTCAGGAAGGGTCTGTACCCGGCAAAGTCCTTCCCTCTCACCCTGGGCATGGAGGCATCGGGCACCATCGCGGCTCTGCCCACGGATGAGGAAGTGCTCAACGACGAGCAGTACAAGAAACGTGGGTTCAAGGTCGGCGACAAGGTAGCTGTGGTGAGTGAATCAACTCGATCCTCGGTTGGCACTGTTTCATAGCGATCTCGTACTCGTGAAGATGGCCCCTGGTATACACGCCGAGTATGCATCTGTCCCATGGGTGAAGGTCTTCGCAGTACCCAACAACGTCTCCCTCCTGACTGCAAGCGCTGGCTTGCTGCAAGGTGACCCTGCTTAGCCCAAGAGAAGCCGTACCTGCTCATACAGAAGTCCACGCGCAGGTCTGACTGCGTTGACGTTCATCAGCGAAGCGTACGATGTCCAGAAGGGCGACTACGTCTTCGTGCACACCGTCGCCGGCGGGCTCGGTCTGCTCTTCGCCCAGTTGGCGAAGCACCGCGGTGCCATTGTGATTGGCACGACGTCCACGCAGGAGAAAGCCGACATCGCAAAGCAGCACGGCGCAGACCACGTCATCCTCTACCCGGTGGAGAACACGGTCGACCGCGTGCTTGAGATCACCAAGGGCGAGGGCGTACATGTCATTTACGACGGGGTTGGGAAGGATACGTGCGTCGCTGCTACCTTGCCGCAGGCATCACGCTCACCAGAGGCAACACTAGCTTTGAGGACAACTTCAAGTTCATTCAAAGGAAGGGCACGATTGTCTGCGTCGGAAACGCATCCGGAGCTGTGCCACCATTCCCTCCCTTGAAGCTGGTCGAGAAGAATCTGAAGCTTCTCCGACCCTCGTACGTTGCCCGGTGTTCGAACGATGTGCATGTCTGATTCGAGAGCATGCAGTGCCATCAATTACCTTGTCACGCCCGAAGAGACGCTGTACTACGGCACGGAGCTCTTCAAGCTGATCGCGAGCGGGGTGGTGAAGGTCAACGTCTACAAGGAGTACCCATTCACGACAGAAGGTGCACGGGAGGCACAGACGGATCTGGCGGAGCGGGGAGGCAAGACCTTCGGAAAGCTGGTCATCAAGATTGCAGACGAGTAGGCGGGGAAGATCGATGCGAGTGTGTATATGGAAGATTATCTAAATGTATAACTACGGTTGAAGACAAGGCGAAGCGCGGAATAGTACGTGCGTTGGTGTGTTGCGGTTCCTGACGTGAAGACTACCGAAGACACAGAACACCCTTTCGCTGACAAGGCTAGGTGTGCTGAAACCACAGAAGACGTGGGCGTGCGACTGCTAGCTCCCGCACGACCCTACTGATAGTTGCGGGCTTTGGGTAGTATGTGCATATGTTCAGACTCCGGCGGGGATCTCCCGCCACCCCAAGCCACGACGCGTGATCCAGCTTGGTCAATCCCTTGAAGTTGTAGCCTTGCGGCTGTCGTCTACACGCAACACGCGGGTGATAATTGCACAATGTAAGTGTATTCCCCTCGAGTCCTGATCGTTGCGGACATGGCTCATCGTCGTGCAGGACAGCTGGCATATGCTGTGGACGATGGCACGAATGCAAAGAGCACCACACCCGCCTCGTTCATCAACAAACTGCAAAGGTGTTATTCAAGTCTGACGAACGAATGGTGCACGTAGAGCGGGACAAGGTAACCATGAGATTCCATTGTCCACGATGCGAGAAGTCCTATCCCGATCCGAAAACTTTGCGCGTAAGACTGTCTGAAGCTAGCGTTTTGCGGTCCTGGACTGATGTTATGGCACATAGAAACACTGCCGTGGACAACTTGTTGACTGTCGTTTGCGCAACAACGGGAGGAAACAATCTAAGCAAGGCATGGCCCATAGACATCGGTCTCGGAGCCGCTCGCCGGACGATACTTCCGCACACAGCAGCGATGAAAGCCACGTATCACGCGACACCGGTGCCATGGCGTCGACGTCGACGCGTCCTGTTCGGTGAGGACATCACTTTATAGCCCATTGCTGTGACAACATCGTGCTCATTACTTTATTGTAGACGTGGTGGTACCCATACGACCCGAACTCAGCGCGCACTCGTGCGTGGATACTGGGAGGACGAGTATACCGTGCATCAGATCACGGAGTACATGAACCTGACCCGACGCGATACCTGGCACGCGATCAAAAACCAGTCGGGCGATAATCTTGATGAGGATGAAGACTATCGTAACGGGACAATTGGCGATGTCATCAACGTGGAGAATCTCTTGCTGGACATCGAGCCGCAGGGGAAAGCGTCGATCAAGGGCGAAGAAGAGGATATAGAAGAGGTCGACGAGAAGGTTGACATGGATATACAGAGCGACAACGATGAGTTAGGTGAGTGGCAAGCTGATAGGACGCGCCTAACACAGATATTGAAGTGCGATGCCAGAGTATGTGGACGTTGAGATGCTGGGTATCCAGCCGATTGGGCCCGGCTCACGCGGAGCGGCCCAACGCAATCAACAGCACCCTCAGGTTTCACCGGTCGTAACTAGCCCGTCTCAGGCTGTTGACCCAGTCAGGGCGCCGACCTCATTGAAAACCAACACGAACGTGAAGGACGACCCCCAGTTCCCAGTCCCTACCACTCCACTGTCCACGCCGGACTTCGCACGAAGAGCCGCAGGTTCCAACACACCGCGTGATGCCGCGCAGAGCTCGCACAACAACACTGGTACCTCTAGCTCGTCAACAGCTAGCAGTGAGAATGGCACAGCACGCTTGGATAGACAAATAAGTCCTATTCAGGCTTTCTTGGGACAGCTGAAGCGGCCGCTCAGTCACTTGACGGGTGCCTTCACCGACTTTGGAGTTTCCACGGAGGAGGATCTGGATGTCCTGTCTGTTTTAAAGGATCAGTGGGTGCTCCTGCAGACCTTCCTATGTGACACAAAGAAAGCTACGTATTTTGAGTGGATGATACTGAAGGCTGGATTGGAACTACGGGCGGCCTGGCAGACATCGTGCAAGTGAAGATAGTACTAGTGTAGGGAATCATTGTATCATCAGGAACAATCTTAGTGGAATACCTCGAAGATAATCTGACGTTTGAATAGTATGTGCAGCTGTTATGTGCTGCTTAAGAATTCGTCTGGTAGCGCATATCAGTACATACGCCGTTGTGTCTCATTCACAGCACTAGCAGCACCATGTTACGCGAAGCGTGACACCTAGAGCACTAGCTCTCAACCTAACCCTAAACGTAGGGACCTTAGGTTCTAATCGTCCTTGGATGGGGAGGATGGTCTGAGACGCTGCTAAGTCCGTCTAGCAGGTCGAGCGGGGAGTTTCTGATATCCAAGGAGCTGGTGAGGCTTCAATAGATAACCAGGTCGAACTGAGGTTCGACCGCTGCTGTACACAGGTCTTATATACATGGGGAGTTCAGGGCAGGTCCTGAACGAGTCACAACTACCTAGCCAATAGGAGCGCGGGGGAGTGAGTCATGACGAGTCAGGGATCGAGTCATAAATGATGAGTCAGGTATGAGTAAGGGACGAGTCATACTGAGTCAGAGATCACGTGAACTGCTCCGGGTTGGACCGGAGCAAACAGCGAAGGAGTCCGAAGACTGGAACCGTAGCGTCATGGGGTTGGGCCCATGCTAGGATAGTACAATGCTCAAGTGCAAATAAGGGAAAACAAACGTTGACGTAACATAAGCCCCTTCCTAGGGTCGACGACCTCGTCGATCTTCTAAGAATAAGGCGGCGGCGGCGGGGCACTTTGGATGGTGGTGGATCCGTCACGATGACGGTGGATGACGACGTCGACTTCTCCAGTATCGGTATGCTGGAGCTCGAACGTGCCCGACACCGGCGAGGCGATCGTGGGAGAGGGTTGGAAGGATGACGTAGGGGTGGTAGCGAGTTGGCGGAGGGGGACCTGTTCCAGGTCCTGGGTGAAATCCGCCAGGGGTTGACGTACCGGCTCGGGGCGAATTAGATGAGGGGGTTGAGGCGGGGCCTCGCGTGTCGGGATCGACCGGACGGGCACGTTCTCGTCGTTTTCCTCCAAAAGGCCGAAGGAGGGCTCCAACGTCTGGATGACGAGGTTTCTTCTGCCATCATCGTCGACCGGGGAATCCAGGTCCACGTCCGTGAGTCCAGGCGAGGTAAGGATCCCGCCGAGGTATGGTCGAGGATGAGGGGTCGGGGGTCGGACTCCGGTATTTGTGCGTCGTTCGCTACGAGGAGGACGGGCGCCGATCAGGTAGGTTTCGTCGAGGAAAGGATGGTCCTCGTCATGCATGGAGTCGCCGGCTCGACGGGCTTCTTCGCGGGATTCGTATACAGAGATCATTGCTGCCTCAACGTGCATGGCCAGGACCGTGGCACGGGTAAGGCTGACAAAGATGCCGTCGATGCGACCATTCCGGACCACATACCACCTATTGGCCTGCTCGAATCCGATCCGTTTGCCGCGTAGGGTAGGAGGGAGGAATTCGGTTGGTCGGGAGGTGATGAGACCACTGAGCGCGGAGTAGATATGGTTGGCTTCCATCAGCCAGCGATGGGCGACAGACTGTGTGAAGATACCTCCACGCATCAGGTCGTTCAGGGATCGCAGGTCCGGCGGGAACGTGGGTGCTTCGGCTTCGGAAGCTGAACAGAGGGCCTCGGTATGTCCCGGCTGGCGACGATTGCATCGGGGGCAGCGGTAGTGAGAGCAGTCGATGGTTCGGTGGTAATCAGCATCGGTGCCCTGGCAGACGATGCACGGGGAGTAGTTGGTGATCATGCGAGCAAGGTCGCGTGCGTCGACATTCGGGAAAGTGGGGGTTACGATGAAGTCGCGAGAGTAGGTGATATCGTTGATGGGGATCAGGTGGCGAGCAGCTTGTTTGACCGCGGAGTAGTCTTCGAGCTCCTTGAAACGTCGGAGGAGTCGTCGTGCGGAGGCATCTCGTCGGGATATGAAGAGATGGATGGCGTCCTCGAGGAGGTCCTGCTGGACCCAAACGTCCGCCGCTGCCTCATAGAGGTCAGTCAGTGTGTCCATTGCATCGAGAACGACGTTGGGGTCGTCGTTGATGAAACCATCACGCTCAAGTTGCGTGAGGAGGGCCCCGGGTGCGCAGAGGACCTGGGAGGCGAGGGGCCAGTTGAGTGTCCCTGGTGGAAGTGGTTTCGTACGAAGGATGGTTTCGAAGAGGGAGGTCGAGTCGCGGGTCGGAAGGAGGGGGTTGCCTTGCGTGGAGGCCGAGGAGTGGGGCGGCATCGTAGTTCGTGTCCTTCGGTGCGCACTCGGAATCGGCATTTGTCACAGAGGTGGTAACGGGGGTCAAGTGGGAGACGTTGCTTGCGGTTCAGGCCAAGATAGGGGAGCTGGGTGATGACCCACGCGTCGTAGTAAGCCTTGAGAGAAAGGTCGTCGTAGGCAGCGGTGGAGGGCATAGAGCTCGACTCAGCAGTCGCAAGCGTTGTCGTCTTGGGGTCCGAGTCTCACCACTCCAAGACGGCTCTTCTCTTTATACTCGTAGAGGAGTCGGAGATGGTGCGCGCGCTTGTACTCATCAAGGGTCTCTTCCCCTGTGCCCAGGAAGACGTCTTCGGGTTCCCACGAGTTCTCACTGGGAGGGTACCCTTTCCACTTCACGAGGTATCGGCGTCGGCTTGCCGTTCCCTTGTGACCAAGGATAGCTTCGAATTCCCAGGAGTTTTCTCCGTCTACTTCATCCGGGGGAGGTTCTGTATAGGTCGGGCCGTGTTCCTCGGTCTCATTGTACGGGGATAGGAGACCGGCGTGGAATACAGGGTGGATTCGCCATTGCGGAGGCAGTTGGAGGCGATACGTCGCTCTTCCCATGACCTCGGTGATCTTGAAAGGACCTTCCTTCTTAGGAGCTAGTTTCCTCGTGGCGTAGGGGAGGCGGAGGTGCCGCGTGTCGAGCCATACCTGCTGATCTTTCTTGAAGGCAGGCGTGCGGTCCTTGATTCTCTTCTCGATGACTCGTTGCGCAGCTTCTAGTGCAAAAGCGGCTTCTTCTCGGGCTTTCTGCAGCCGCTTGAGTCGTTCTTCCGTGGTTGGGGAGTCAGCAACTTCGGTGATGTGGGGGATTCCTCGGGGTTCATATCCCATCATTGCGTAGAATGGCGACATCTTGATGGCGGAATGAGGTCGGGAGTTGTGCGCAAACTCGGCGTCAGGGAGCATCTCGTCCCATGTTTCAGGATTGTTCGCACAGAAGATTCGGAGGAATATCTCGAGTTCCTGGTTGGCTCGTTCCGTCTGGCCATCAGTCTGGGGGTGGTACGCCGTGGACAGTGCGCGTTCAATTCCGGTCAGGCGGCAGAGTTCTCCCATGACCTTGGATGCAAACTGAGGGCCGCGATCGGAGATGAACTTGCGTGCGAGTCCGAAGCGTCGGTACACGTGGTCGTGGTTCATCTTGGCGGTTGTTTCGGCGTCCACCTGGTCCGTGCATGGGATGAAAATTACCCCCTTCGTAGAGTCGTGGTCCACCACGACATAAATAGCATTATGTCCGCGGGGAGTCTCGGGGAGTGCGGTGATGAAGTCCATTGTTTGGCATGAGAACGGTGTGGCGGGGTGTTGTGGCGGGATTGGGATGAGAGGAGTCACTGTGGGATGCGTGTTCGGTTTCATCTGCTGACAGATTCCACATCCCTTGACGTATCGTGCGATGAATTGTCCCATTCCAGGCCACCAGAAGTCGCGTTGCACGAGGGTGGTCGTCTTGTGGATGCCCGGATGACCTGCGGAGGGGAGCTCGTGGTACAAGCGTACCACGTTCCGTCGGAGTCCCGCATCCGGAGGAACATACACTCGTGATTGATACCATACCAGGTCTCCGTCCGTCTGCCAATCCGTAAGCGAGGTCTTCGCAGGTGCAGGTCCTTTGCCAAGGAGAGCATCGAAGGCCTCCTTTACCATGGGTTCCTTTTCATGGCAGTCTCGTAGGCGATCGAGGAGGTCCGCGTTGATGGCTCGCACGAAGAGCTGGGGGGCTAACATTACGATGTCGTCGTTGTCATCAGCCCCGGTATCATGGTCACTGCGTCGGGATAGAAGGTCGGCGATGGTCATTTGCGTTCCAGGGACGTGTGCCAGTTCATAGTCGAATTCGCTGAGGAACAGCGACCATCGTGCTTGTCGTCGATTGAGCTTCTGCGCGGTGCGCCAGTAGGTCAAGTTACGGTGGTCCGAGCGGATTTGGAGCTTGTGCGGGCTACCTAGGAAATAGTGTTTCCAGGTCTCCAGACCGCGTATGATGCTGAGGAGTTTGCGGTCGTAGATCTCGTAGTTCCGCTCGGCGGGGTTCAAGGACTGGGAGATGAAGCCACAGGGGTGCAAGTCCCCGTTTGCATCACTCTGTAGCAGGACACCGCCGGTAGCAAACTTCGAGGCGTCGCATTCGAGAGCAAATGGCCTGGTTTCATCTGGCATGACCAAGGTGGGAGCACGCGTAAACTCGTGCTTCAGATCCTCAAAGGCGAGTTGTTGCTCCTCGTCCCAATGCCATCGTACGTCCTTCTTTGTGAGGTCCACTAGGGGTCGTGCACGCTCAGAAAAGTGGAGGATGAACCGTCGGTAGAAATTCGCAAATCCGACAAAGGAGCGGACTTGCTTGACTGATTCGGGTACGGGCCAGTCAGCAATTCCGCTCACTTTCACGGGGTCCATGGCAATGGTGTCCGGTCGGATTATCATTCCCAGGAATTCCACTTCAGTGACGTCGAAGTGGCATTTCTCGGGTTTGAGATAGAGGTCGTGGTCCTTGAGGCGCTGGAGGACTCGTCGAGTCCGTTTGTGGTGTGTCGTAGTGTCCGCGGAGTAGATCAGGATGTCGTCCATGTAGATGACTAGCCAGCCTTCAGCTAGCATATCTTCGAAGATGGAGTTCATCATCCGTTGGAACGTCGAGGGCGAGTTGCATAGACCGAAAAACATGACCGTGGGTTCGTATAGTCGTGGCGGACCCTGGTTGGATCCGGGAACCGCGAAAGCTGCCTTCCACTCATCGCCCTCCTTGATTCGGACATTGTTATAGCCGGCGCGCAGATCCATCTTGGTGAAGATCTTTGCACCTTTAAACTTGTCCATGAGGTCTGAGATCAGGGGGAGGGGGTAGCGGTCTTTGACCGTATTCTCGTTAAGCTTTCGGTAGTCCTGACAGGGTCTCCATGTTCCATCTTTCTTTCCAACGAAGAAGAAAGGACTGGCAATCGGAGAGTTGGAGGGTCGTATGTAACCTTTCGACTCGTTCTCTTTCAAGAACTTGTCAAGTTCCTCGCGTTGAGCATGACTGAGAGGGTAGACCTGGGTCTTCATCTCCGAAAACCCCGGTTTCAGGTTGATCTCGTGGTCGTACTCGGTGTGCTCTGGGAGTCGAGATGCCGTTACTTTATCGAATACCGGGAGGAAGTCATGCAGATAGGGAGGGACGATTTCCTCAACCGTCTTCTGCTTCTTTCCGACCCACTCAGAGAGCGCTAGCTCAGTGGCTGTGGTGGTTCGTCCGATCGAAAATGCCGTGGGGATTAGTGCGCCGGTGCCGGTTCGTATCATCCGATTGATAGCATGCCTGGACGGCAGGGGCTCTGGGGTGTCTTCGTGTTCCTGCGTCAGTGGTGTTTCAACGAAAGCGAGTGTTGCCAAGTAGTTTGCACCAGGGGCATACGATGCCAGGAATTCGTCAGGGTCCAGATCTTCGGTCATGGACCGGAGTCGTGCTTCATAATCTTCCTCGCTCTCGAGCGGTTCAGGGTGTGGGTTCATAGGGGGGAAGTTGGGGAGTTCCTCAATTGGTTCGTCCAAGAGAGAGGTCTCCGCTACAACTTCCTTCTGAGGAGCATCAACAGCTCGCTCGTGTTCTTCTTCGGGAACATCCTCGACGGTCACTCGTCGAGGTGGGGTTGGTTCGCGGGGTTCTTCGGGGCTGCAGGCCCGATCGGGTGGTTCCTCAACTTGTCGGCGGATCCGATAGACGGGAGCGGGGGGTAGCTCCACTTTGACAGTTCGTAGGATTTCCGCCTTGCTAAGCTGTTCCATCTTTGTCAGTTTAAGTGCATCTACTTTCATTCATTAATGAATTAAACCCTGGATCTGATTTACACACTTTTGTACCCCTGTTAATCTAATCCTAATCCAATACAGTCTTGATCCACTGCTAAGTCATGTCCTAAATCTGAGTGCATTACAAATGCATTAAGGAGGTCCCTTAATACATCACTTATACACCACTAATACACTGTTGATTCATGTTGAATCTCTAGTCTTAATCCTCATAGTACTTAATGCACCACTAATACACTACTGATACACTCTCAACACACTGGTTAAGTCAGTACAATCCACAGCTTCTACCTGATACATTACTGATACACTTGTGATCCACTATCTGAGCCAGTGTGATACACTTGTAATCTACTGTCTCAGTCAGCATAATACACAGCCACTACCTAATACACTATAGATCCACTTGTAATCCACTGTCTCTACTATCTAAGTCGGTGTTGATGTACATGTGCATCCCAAATACACAGGCTTACTGCCTTGGTATACCACATTCACACTGCATCAAGTCTAAGCATGAACTCAATTAACACTGGATCAAGTCTTAAGCCATCAGCCTAGAGCAATATCTGATACACCAAAGCCAATCAATGATCCCCTCCAAAGTCACTCCAAATCCACCGAGTACCCACCCCAGTCCACTACGAAACCACCTCCTAAACCTACGCGAATCACCGAAGAACAACTACTAATCCTTAACAAATCCACTACAAATCCACTACGAAACCGCCTCCTGAAACTACGTAAATCACCGAAGATCAACGACTAATCCGTAGCAAAGCCACTACATAGCCACTCTACTAATCCAGTAACAAAGCCACCTCCGAATCGTAACTACATTAACTCACAGCCTAACCCTCGCATAGTATCATCCGCGACGTACCCTACCAGCGGCGGATGCAGTCGAGCACGACGACGGCCACTGAGCATCAACGCTTTTTGTGGCCGCTAGCGGGCCTGTCAGACTTGTTAGTAATGTGAGGGCAGTAAACAACGATACTCACTTCGAGGCGACCGACGTGTGGCCCTTTGGGCGGGTTGATCTCGAGGAGCCCGCTGACGACCGTGATGCGGTCGACCCTGCCGCTTCCACTGCTTTGAGTGTGGGCTTGCGGATGCGAGGTCTGTCAACGCTCTCAGCCTCGGCTGTGCCTCCCAGACTGCCCGATCTCAGTACTCACTGTCTGTCTGTCTCGGTTACTATGTTCTCTGAGCCGTCAGCCTTTCCCCCACGCCCTCCCGTCGTCTTGCACTTCTTCAGTGGAGGTACGTCAGCCATTACTGCTGTGTCCTCATCGGCACTGTGTTCATCACGTCGGTTATTTCGCTTCTTGGCACGGGCTAGGATCATATCCTCTTCCTGGTCAGCACCCGCATTTTGTCGTCAAATTGTACTGTTCTCGCTTACCTCGAGGGGCGACACCATTCCTGGCCACGTTCTCCGCATCGCCTACATCATTATCTGCGGCTGCATCACCATTCGTGCCCTTGTCAACGATATCGTTGTTGGCGGCAGCCTTATCCGTGGTAGCTTTATTCGCGGAAGTCTCGTCGCTCGCGTTGTCGTTGGCAGCCGCAGCGCCGCTCGTGGTCTCGTCATCCGTGTCAGAGATGCCCTCCAGGCGACTTGGCGCGCGACTCCTGAGTCGTACCGACGCGGAGTTCATCCCGTCATCGTCTTCGTCAAGTTCGTCTTCCTCGTCAGTTGACTCCACAACCCGCACCTGGCAGAAAACAGATGTCAATGCCAGTCAACAAAAGTTTTTGAGACCTACTGTGCTCGGCCTTCGTCGGACCTTGCGCCCGTCTGTCATTGTGCGTGCGTTATTTGCCGGATTCACGTCTTCTCTCGGTGCTTGCACGCTTGCGACTGTTGCCTCATTCGCAATCATTTGCGCGTCCTTGCGGATGAATGTGAACCCGTCATCGGTGCCTTGCGTCGAACGGATCTTGATCCACAAGGGGTAGACTTGCTCGAGGGTTGCCCCCGTCGCCTGGCTGAGATCAGGAGCTGGCCATTCCAAGCTCTTCAGGTGCTCGGAAATCATCGTGGCGGACAGTGCGGGCACGTCGCCCGCACCTCGGTGGGCATATACTATGCAGATGATTAGTAATCCTCGCCAAAGACAAACTGTCATGGACTTACGCCAGGTTGCTCGGAAGTATATCAGCAACACTTCTATCATCTTGAGGCCATTCCACTCCGGCCGACTCTCCGGGAGCATGGGGCGATCGTTGACGTACGTGATCCCATGTTCGAGACCCATCTTGGGTTGCGCTGGAGTAGGGGTAAGTAATCAGCAGCGATGTTGATGGAGACACTTACTGAAAGCGTCTCCGATAAAGCCGAGCCATTTGATGTTCAACTCCTCCATAAGACCACGCGCATACTGCTGGAAATTCTGTCCTTGGGGGTGGGGGCCAACATACATTCTAGCGTCTAGGTGAGTCTGCCATTCGTATGGTACAGGTATCGAATACGCTTACTCCTTGTTGTCCACTTCCCCGCTGGGTTCCGTAACAGCCCACCGGACGTAGAAAGCCGCATCTGGGCCGACGCAGTGCACGCCGACGCCAATCAGGCTGGTGAACAGCTCCACGAAATTGGGGGCCAGGTTACGACGGTTCCTGGAGATTTGGTCAGCGGTGGGCGCAGTCGAGTGACAGTGTTGTACTTACGCAGCCATTGTGGCTCTCTCTTCCTCAGGGGAGGGTTCAGGCGGACCCAACGTCTCCCAATGGTCCTTCTCATCTTGTGGCAGCTTGTCGTACAGCGCTTTGCGCGTCGCCGCGAACCGTCCACCCTGTCCCACAGCCTTCGTCTGGTCCATGTGCTGTTGGATGAGGGCCTTGTTCTCGGGGACCTCAGCCCAGCGTTCAGAAGGTCCTTTCGCGCGGCCCTTAGAGAAGAATGTCTTCATGGTGACGTTGCGGTCGTTGGGAGCTTCGTCTTCATTGTCCGAGTCAGAGTTGTGGTCGATGCCGTCCTTCCAGTGGTTCTTGTACCACGTGCGGGTAACCTAGTATGTCATTCCCGAACATATGAGCGTGCCGATGCGTCGACAT